AAAGCATTCCTTTGCGTCTCACTTACCAACAACCGTCTGCAGAACTGGCTTTGCATGATGGACAGCCGACGACAAGACACAACAACGAACAAATAGGACTTCAGGACTGAGAGTGCATGTACAGTATTTCACCTTCAGCGTCTCTCAAACCCACGCCAACTGCATCGGCCAATCAGAGCAGGAGGTGTCTCGGCGTCCGGCGACGTGCCAAAGGGTACATGGGAAATGTAGTTCGTGCAAAGGAGAGGTTGCAAACGAGAGCACTTTGGCTGCTAGCAGCTAATCGGTCCAAGACTGATCCATCCGTTTCTTGAAGAAGCTAGGATATCGATCTTAATCCAGCTACATGTGCCGAATCTTGGTTAAAGAGCTCTCAATAATATACCAATTTCTTTTTTAAACATTTCAATATTTGCAGATTTCTGACACCTAACACCTGGAATTCAGCTCCCAGATTTTTTTTGTGTTGGATCTGTGTGCTTGTCCTTCTCTTCTTTAAATAAATAAATTATTTAAATAATAATATCATAAATGTTACTTTATTGCCCCAGATGGGAAATTTGATTTGCAGGCAGGTAAAAGATGTAACATAATACATTTAACACAACACGAACCCATTACGAATATGAAATATATAACAAATGAGAAACATACAGACATAAGATGCCAAAAACAAGTTGGAAGTTTAAATACTTTCACAATCTAGAAATAAAAACAGTGAAATTGAGTCGTTAGTGTTTATAATAGATGCATAAGATACATCCATGATGAAAAACTAAAGTGAACCATGAGCCAAGGGTATAAAGGATAACTTAATTTATTGCATTTAATTCTTAAAAATATCTCAATCTAAACTTGTTAGTAAAAATAGTAAAGCAAGCTGCATGTTCCAGTTTTCATTACTTTCATTGTTACCAGTTTTCTCCAATGTATGAAAGTAAACGCCGTTGTAGGTGAAAGTTCGAAGGGTCACTGAGATCAAAGAGTAAAGAAAATATTCCTCTCTGTCACAGCAGATCAAGACCAGGTCAGTCTGAACTGGCAGTGCACTGTGGTAAAATTAGTTTAAACTCCCCAATCTCCACCCTGTTTGTACAGACATGTTTAAATAACTTATATATCGATGTTGCTTCATGAAAACAAAACAGCAGCAGCCTGTATGCACCTGACTTTCTCAATGAATGTTCTGGAGAGACCTCGCGGACCAGTGACAACAATCCAGCACTTCAAGGACAGCACAGAAATATAATTTTTTTGTGTCGGAAGGATAAAGGTTTTATCATTCTCGTTAACTACAGTGTATATTTTACTTTTCTTTAATGTTTGAATTGTTTTTGACTGTGATACTAGAAAAAAGTCTTCTGTGGATTCACAGAATAAAGTTCTGAATAAAGTAGAATACAAATCCAACCATCACATAACTTTGCCCTAAAATTTCTTTCGAACCTTAAAAGTTTGTTTGGGAATTTTTAATTTGCTGTAGAAGAGGCTCAGTGATGCACTTTAGTTGTTGTTTAATAATGCTGAGGCAAAACCTCTGAGTGTCTGAAAGAAAACTAAGATGTTTTTTTATCTTTTTATCTTTCTAACGTGGGGAAATAAGGTTAAAAAAGCAGTTCTTTAACAACATCATATTGATCAAGCACCTTAATTCACCTGTTGTTTCAGCATCAAAACAGGAAAGTAAGTTGTTTGAATAAAGGTCAGTAAAGTATCCAATGTGTTGTTGGCCAAACTTCATTAGATAAAAGAAATGTCACAAACATGTTACCATGAACTTTAACATTAGAATGTGCAGCTGGACTACCGTCTGTTTACCAATGAAAAAAACAGCTTTTGTACACAAATGTTGCAGGTTACAAATCATTTCCCAAACACTGAATGTAAATATTATTGGATTTCATTGGAACAGAACCTGGAATGCACTTTTTCATCATTTATACCAGCAGTGCAGAGGGATTAAAATCACACCTCAGAAACTGGTAAGTGTCTTGAGCCAATTCTATGTGTTTTGCCCAGACACATTCTCTGCACGGGCAGTATAGTGAGACAGTGGCTAACACTGCTGCCTCACAGCACAGGGGTCCAGGGTTCAACTTCAGATCTAGGAAGCCATCCACATGGATAGCACAGTTTGCATGTTCTCTCTGTGTTCATGTGGATTTCCTCCTGGTGCTCCACCTTCCTCCCACAGTCCAAAACATGCTAATAAGTTATTTGGCTCCTGTGAAAACTGGTCCTGGTGTGTGTGTGTGTGTGTGTGTGTGTGTCTGTATCTGTGTCTGTGTGTGCCCTGTGATGGACAGGCATCCTCTACAGAGTGTATCCTGCATTTCGACTGCTATTCCCCATGACCCAAAATTAGAAGAATCGGTTTGAAAAGAGATTCAAGTTCTCTGGTTGTGTTCTAAGATGATTATGTACTGTATATCAGACATCATTTGTTACAGTATGTTACCATCAATTCAGCATGAACATTGTTGAACAGGACAAAAATGATTAAATATGTTACTAATTTACAAAGGTGTAGTCATCTTTAAAAGCCCAGAAATTTAGAAGCTTATTCCACACTGTCTTATTTAGTTTTGTAAAATATGTACAATACAATATAAAAATAAACCTAGTAATTGCATTAGATAAACTAAACTACCATTGAAAATTCATTATTGCATTTTGCTAGACATAACAGCTACAGAGATCTGGAGAAAATCTGCAAGATTTAAGTAGTAATCTAGCCATCCATAGTTCAGCAAAACTCGAGAGTTATTCTTCTCTTCTGGAAATCGTACTCACTCTGCTGTGATCCGTCTGAGAAATAAAGGTAACCTGAAGGATATAAGAAAGTATATCAGATTCAGTTTAATGCCTACTGTCTACAATAGTCATTAAACTCTCAAGTATTGTTCTTCTCTTTGCGATTTAATGTATAGCCTTTGAGAATCCTTTTCACCATCTGGAATGCTTTTAAAGCACAAAACGTTTTTCCAATTAATGTTAATCAAAGGTAAAGTTGATGGCAATATGGTGGTTAAATGCTGTCAGTAGGAGAAAATCAGGACAGAATGGGTTAATCACTAACCATAAAAGTGTATCTTTTATCAGGACCCTAAAGTCATGTGTGTTTGTGTTTGACCCTGAATTTCAAGTTGAAAACAAGGCGAATGAAAGATAAATGTGTAATGACCTCAGACTTGTAAAGCCTGTCTTAACGCAGATTCACAGGGTTTACAGGGTTATTGTACCCCTAAGAGTAAAGAGCCAGGAATGAAATGCATAGGCACGTGAAGTTCGAGCTCAGCTCCTCTGGATGAGGGCCAGCCACCTGCCCATAGGCCAAGGAGGTCAAGCAGAGAGGAGGGGACAGGAAGGCTCAGAGCAATGTGAAGGAAAAAACTGTAGTCTTTTTTAACTTAGGAAATGACTTCAGGAATGATTATGAGTCAGGGCAGCTGAGGCAAATTTTCAAGCTCAAACTTACATTGTGAACCATTGAATTATGACAGACACCTGAATGTCCCAAACACACTGTGATCGCACTCCCACCCTCCATTAATTGAGGTGTCTAAATCTTAGGCCAGAATAGGTCAGATCTTAAATGGTGAATGAATGTATATAATGAAATATAAATAAACATTAATAAACATCATGATTATTTTGCTTATATTTTTTATTTCATTTTATTTTGCCAGCAAATAGCAATGATTCTTCTTACCTTAAATTACACAGATTGATAAATAAATAAATAGATTCATATATAAAACATATTTCAATTTGCAAAAAGAATGTAATGGAATTACAATGTTTTCTCTATCAGTATTAACAGGTAGCACAAACATAATTTATTTATCTTTTATAGAAGCCTTTTCAAAAACTGGTAAACTGGATCATTTTGATGCTGTTTTGCTTAAACGATGAGCAGTTCTCCTTGTTCCTGAAAAACAGAACACAGCAAGTTAGTGAAGAGTCTATCTATAACTGTAACAGAGATTAAAAACAAATAGGTTTCTGAGTGAAACAAATCCATACATGATGTAAATATAAACCCACAGGCTGTTCTCCTAAACAACAACGACTGCAACTGCAGCCTCAGTTTGTCATTATTCCTACAGGCCGTCGAGCTCGATGGCTTCTCACCGTAGAGAGACTGGATTCCAGCGATGTCGTCCCTGGAGAGCTGGAACCCAGCAGTGTTTCTGTAGGAGTAGGTTGGATACATCAGAGCATCTTTATCCTGAGAATGGCCTAAACCCAGCGAGTGTCCAAATTCATGAGCCGCCACGAGCAAGAGGTTGATTCCTGAAGACAGAGAAATAGATAGATACTTTATTGATCCCGTGGGGGATATTGCAGAAATATCGCTCATACAAGACAGGAGACGGTCCTGTGTGTGTCTGTCGAAACACAAACTGCGATTTTCTTAATGGCTCTCGTGAGGGGCTCTGAGTGCATTTACTCTTGGGTGAGTAGTGAAGCCACTTATAATCTATTGATCAGCTGCCTATTAGATTGTTCAATGCTGTTTAATGCTTTTATAAAATATCCTTCTCAAATTTCTGCAAATATGCAAATATTTCACAGTCAAGTCTTCCCAGCACAGGGGATCTTCACAGCCTTCCCTTCACCAGAGCTGTGATGGCCACACATCTTCACTCCCTGAGTTCAAGTTCAGTTGGCCAACCTCACTCCAGCAGCCTTCCCTGCAATGTGCTTGTTTTTGGTCTGTCCCAGATTAGGAGGTCAACAAACGTTAACTCGCAGGGCTAAGAGAATGGAGGCGTCTTAGCACACTTCAGTCCACTTAGTCCATAATAAACTCCCTTTCTAACCCTGCCCTCAGTTTCATCCATATATACACTAATCATAATAAACATCAATATATACACTTAAGTCTATGTGCTCCTTTGTTTGATCTTGACCAAACTCTTTTGGAAGCAATGGATTGTGATGTTATATATAAAGTGCAGCCAAATGTTGTTGTTGTAACTGCCATGCATTGGAACTAAATCTCCAAGAAAGCATTGAAAGCCCATGTAGTTCAGGTCTACAGAAGGTCTGCGTCAGCAAAAGACCTGAAGAAAGCCCCATGGCCGAAACATTGTGTTTTCTTTCTTCTTTTTTTCAGCATGGAATAAACCTATTACTTGTTCATTTAAAGCCTGTGTCCATCTGCTGAAGTCCACCAGATCATCCCTACAGCTTCCCCGAGCTCTGAGCCCTGCAGGTTCTTACCACTCTGTCCGAGTGACCATGTCTCATCCCTGTCGAAGTGGGCGTCCCCCAGCAGGCCTTTCCCCGGGGCGAAGGCATGGGCCAGCTCTCCCCCAGGTCCGTCGAAGGGAAAGTCGTCTCCATGCCCTGTGATCGGCACACCACACATGAGGGCGCCCCTGCTGCAGGCTTGTCTTCTCACAAGACTTGCAGAGCAGGATTTCAGAACTCTCATTCAAAGAGGTTAAATAAGTAAGCAGTTATTCCATTATACAGACTTCAACTTTTAAGCTCTTGGCAGCCCACTTAGAAAATATAGCTACCCGCAGATTGCAGTAAATTAAATTAAATACAACTCACAGGGACAGACTTACTGCAGGACGCAAATTTGATCATAATGTCTGCTTCTCCTTTGTTGATGCGAATGAATTTCAGAGGCGTCACTTTGCTCCACAGCCTGAGAGCCGTCTTGACAGTCCGGTCCACCTGCCTCTTGCTGATATCAGCCGTGTACCGGACGATCCTGCGGCAGTAATAAGCACTTGAAGTCAGGACCTGCAGCAGCCCGCCGAACTGTCTCTCAGACCCCATCCTGCTGGTGACAGCGCCCTGGTGGCTGCCCTAACAGGAGCTGGCTTTGGAAAAGGAACTGTCTTAAAATCTATCTCACACCCCCAGCATAATAACAACTGTGACTCTTTAATTGACATCATGGAAAAAACACAAGGTAGTTATGTGTGTATTTGATTGTTATCTGAGCCTACCTGTACGTCAGCCTTTTCTTTGTCCATTTTGGTTTTCCGGGGAAGAAGCTGTAATCGGCCATCTCAGGTACCCCACACCTGGGCTTCTTCATGATGGAGAGCGTCGCTCTGTCCACCCTGCCAGTCACCTTGAGGCCAAAGAACCGCTGCATCTCTCGGAGCTTACCTTCCAGAGGGTGTCTGTCCTGTGTGAGGTTATAAAACCTCTCCAGATAGAGCTGCAAAACCAACAATTCCTCATTGATTCAGACTCTGAAACCTTGTCCTTCAGTGTCTGCAGGGAGGCTACAGGAGTGCAAAACTACAAGACTCTGTGCATTAACACCATGAGATCCACCTCAAGCACATTTACTAACCAATTCTTAACTCTGAAAGCCCATACTCTGTTTGCTCATATGTTCTGATAAAAAGTGTGTGCTTTCGAGACACAAGGAGTTTGACTAAAGAGATACCTTGTGCAAACACAGACGCTGGAAAAGTGAAGGTGAAGAGCCTCCCACTGCTACAATTGCATCTCCACTGATACTACATGGCATCCGCACTGTCGAGACAGTGGCCACACTGTGCTTGTGGAAATAACGCCACAGGTTTAACCAGAAAGTTTCCCCGTTGTAGGTGAGGGAAAAGCCACACGCTTTCTAAGACAATAGTAGAGCTGAGCTAATCTCATGGCACACTGTGGAGGGTGCAGGCTGCTCACACGTGAGGTACGTACCCTTGCCCAGTCCACATCCTCAGAGGAGTTCCTCCCTTCTGCCCGCAGGGGAACCGGGCCTGCGGAGGCCAGCGGAGTGCAGGTGAGCATCAGCGTGACTAGCATCCCACAGGTTCGCATTCTCACTGCCAGAGACTCGCCCTGTGAACACAGGTCTTCTTGTGAGCCCGCGGGCAGAGCTGGGAGGGTTTTTATCCTGGTGCAGTCACCACTCGTGGCACCCTTTCCATTATGAGTCAAGCGGGGAAGGAAAGGCTGTCGTCAGGGTCAGGCGACTTCAAAACAAAATCTTCAGTGCTCCCCAGGTTCTTTTTTTCACTGGCTCACTTTAACATTGGCAGCAGTTTAGCTGCTGAGCTTGTCTTAATCATATAAAATACATCGCCAAAGCTACATTTTTAATTCATTCATGATGTTAACAGCACAGATTGTTGTTTGGAAATCATGTTCCTTATAATTTAAGCATGAAAGTGTCTTAATGTTTGACTTACAACACTTCAAGTGAACGCAGGCACGGGGCAAGTAGTGTCTAGACGTAGTACTTGACATGTCCAGTAGGTGGCATCCTATATCCAAGCAGTACCAAAAGGCCTCTTAATCCGCTCCTCTGACACAATAGCTTTAATTTCATACAAGAAGATACAAGACAGCTATTTCGACAGCGTGAATCAGAGCTCTGTCAGATATTCCATGTGTATTTGGGAGCAATATTTCATTTGAAGGACAGGGACATAATTTTATTTAAGGGGGTTTTCCAACGTGGTATTTGTGAAACAGAGTTTTTGCAGTGTCTTGTATGCATATTGCTTTTCTCATCAGCCTCAAAAGAGATGCCTTTGTATTGAAGGGAGAAACAATAGAAACTGAAGGAAAAGACACTGTAGAGTTAAAAAATGATCTAAAATGCTTCATCAGCACTTATGATGTTATGAAAACATCTTAGTCCGAAGACAGGAAAGTGCTGTGTCAGAGTGTGAGAGGTGCTCTTTAAGTGATGCTTGAATCTTTGTTCACAACAAACATGGGAGCTTGAGCTGCTGATGAAAATCAGAAACTCGCCTTACAACAGCGTATCACAACTTGTGTGCACTTCTATTTCAGTAAAAAGATATGTCCATCTCGTGTTTTTCCCATCTGTTTAACATAACCTTCTGAAGGTCCAGCTAACACTTTTTCCTAAACCCCAGTGAATATGACAAAAAGGCAAATAAGAAAAAATCTTGAAAAATTTTTACTACAAGTTTCATTCATTTACAAAATAATCATTATGAATCAACATCTAGTTAAGAATCTAATACAGTACTATAACATTTCATAATAATACATTTTTCAAAGCTGAATATTACACCATATGTCCAAACACCTGAGCATACAAAATATTTCATGTGCAATATGTACCCCAGAGAAAAGCCAATTACAACAAAATCCCATAAATAATATTTGAATTACATTTGAATATAATTAGCAATGACCAAAGTTTTAATGACTTAACATGCACAATATCATTTGACCACAGATCTAAATAAAAGAGATTAAAGAGGGTTGAAATAATTTAACTTGCATCTACAAACTACTGATTTGTTCAGATTAAATGTCTATTTAGCCTGTTGTCGGTTTATATTCAAAGTTATTCATCCAAGCGAAATCTAGCTTTAGTGAGGAAGAAAACAGCAGGTGGTTAATCCCTGCGTTTCCTTTCTTCCAGGAAGGATTTCTGTCTTGGAGAACCCTCTCCACCGTGCTCTCCACAACACCTACCCTCAAAATACTACGAGAGGATGTTGTATTCCGTAAATTTAAATCCTCAGCAACATGCACTGGAAAATACAGGCGTATGATATTTATGTACAGGGGATAGTGTGGTCACTGAGAGTCATTGGGTCAGTTGGGTTTCCACAGATGACGCTGCAGACGGCAGCGGAGCCGCGTTCACGGAGCGGAGTGAGCGTCTTCTCCGGCCGCGCCTAGCAGGCGAGCAGCGCCGAGTTCCTCTGGGTGCTGACGACTCGTCTGTTGTTCAGGTCGTATTCATACAGATAGGGTCCGCTGGAAAGGTAGGTTTTACCTGAAAACGCAGAGAATTTAGTGTGAACTCTTTTTCCACTAGGTGGCGTGGTCGGCATTTCCGTTTCTCTTTTAAACGGATTTAGGTAAGTACGCGATATGTCGCTCTTTGAGTGTCATACTTATTTATTCTTTCCCTTTAGAAATAAACTTGCAAAATATTCTCTCTGCAATATTTCCTCTCTATGTCTACTGAGCACGTCCCCTTGTTCACAACCGTTTTATTCATTTGCAGTTTGTCTTAACAGTAGTACCCTAATTCCAAAGTCGTTATCATTGTTTACCCTCATTACAAGTCTGTTTACTTGAGATGGAGAAAAAGAAGAATTAATTGTAACTGCAGCCTTGTGGTGCACCTCTTGTACAGCAGCTGTGAATGAGCTTGTTGTTACCAAAATAAAGATTTTGTACTGATGTAAGCAAAATGTAATATTCTTTAAAAATACTACCACAGCGTTTTCACAGTATGAAATCACTAACAAATAGCCGGATTATCTGCAGAAAGAAACTGACCAGACATCTGAAAGGCAGCATCAACTTTTGAGCCGATTCCTGGAAAGTCTTCTTTGATGGTGCTTCTGAGCTCCATTGTCGACGTCTTCTGATTGAATCTAAAGAAATGAAACAACGGGAGTTGTTATGTCCCATAAAACCGAAAATATAATAGACCTACATATAAAAAGAATGTAAAAATCCTAAAAAAGAAATGAGCAGGCTGTAGCTACGATTGTCACACCTGTAGTATTGATCACCAACAAAGAACAGCGTCTTTCCTGTTGCCGCGATGTGGACAGCAGCATCTATCTTCCTCACAGTCCTTGGGAATCCAAAGTAAGAAATGTTCAACTGATATGGCTTGTATTTGTCCCCCTGCTCTTTCAACCACATGATCATGTCAGTGTCTGCAAAGGAGAGAGAAGACACAAGCCACATGGAAGATACATTCCTGTTGTGCTGTCAGAGAACATTGAAGGTGAATTTCCATAATAACCAGGGATCAGAGAAGACTGTGGCAGGTCCTGACTCAAGTATTCAATGTCCTCAAAAGCATGAACAGGCTCAGCCCAGAGGAGCTCTTGAGAACAGTGAAACACAAGCCATAGGTCACAAATGGAGGTGCATTCCAAGTCCAAGCCGAGAACAGGACGCACTTCTATACCTCTGCTGGAACCAGCTGCCCAGCTGAGGTGTTGAAGCGCATACCCTGCTTGTTCTCTTTCAGGAAATGGCTGGATGAGATCCTCAGCACAATTAGTGTCCGAAACCAAACCAGCTTGTTGAGCCCAGCAGCCTCCTCTCATTTCTAAGATGTCTGGTGTTCTCATGCGCACGACAAGTGGTTCTGAGCAGAGAAAACTCCCACTTCTTTTTCACCAGTTTTTATTAATATGGATTCACAAAAAGCAGAGAAACATTTTCCCTTCACCCTCAAATCCCCCTCCTCTGTCCTCTGTAGGACCCACCTCCACCAAAGAGGCCCTAAAATCTAATCAGGCAGCTGCGGCAGGAGCCCAACCCACTTTCGTTTGGTCCTCGTCGGCACCAGCCCTCCCAGCGCTCGACGGAAACTCACTTTTAAAGAGATACGTGGCCCCTCTGTAGTCATACGCTGCATCGACATTAGTCAGAGGGCAGGAGAACCTGGCAGAGAGTGGCTCTCTGACAACTGATCCATTCTGCCTCTTCCGCCACACGGCACTGCAAAGTTACAACACGCGGTCAGTTTGGTTTGATCAGGTGTTGCCTATCCAGTGGAACAGTAATGGTCACGCAGGCCAGAGGAGACTGGCAGACAGCCAGGCAGGCGAGGGGCTGCTGTTGGAACCGTTCTGTGAAGGCAGAGTGATGCCAGGTTGCAGGAGGCAAACGCACAGAGGCTGGTGACAGCAACCCTCCACCTCCACCTCCACCTCGTCAACAGTGAAATGGTGAGCAATGCGGCAGAAAGCACGTGCACACCTGCCCTTGAAGAAGAGCAAGTCACTGCCCAGATAAGCCACAGCGTCCAAGGTCAGGTTAGGATCACAGCCCGGGTGCGCTGCTGCCGTGCTCTTCACCGGGGCCTTGCTTGTAGTTGCAGTTGTAGTTGTCGCAGGACTAGCTGTGGGTTTACCTGAGGAGTAAAGTGCAGGGCGATCATGACCAGCTTCTGTTCAACGTCTCAGTCAGATCTGCATGGAGGAGCCCAGCGGGGACCTACCGTACAGAGACTGGATCCCTTTGACATCGTCGCTGGGAAGCACGAACCCTGTGGTGTCCACGTACTTGTAGGTGGGGTACATGAGTGCCGAAGGGTCACTGGAGTGGTCCAGCCCCAGAGCATGGCCAAACTCATGGGCAGCAACAAGGAACAGGTTGAACCCTGGTCCAAAGACAGGTGGGAGAAGAGCTTGTTACAACTTTCATTTGTTGATTGCTTGATTTCCTTGGAACCACTGAAGTAGAAGACCTGTGTTTGTGGTTATTGTTATTATTATAGATATTTTAAAACATTCTTTTTTAAACAATTATTATTTTTTCAAAATTTGCGAACTTTTTCTAAAATGAATAACATAAAAGAATAAGTGTAAATTCAAGTGTCAAAAATGGATAGGCAATCGCAATGGAATTGTACAAGTAAGTAATAAGTTGTGATGTAATGAGGCTGGAACACATCATCATCTGTCCAACTACCTAAGGATCTCTATCATATAGGATCCCAGGACACCAGAGCCGAACCTGGCAGGCACAGAGCACAGGACAGGACTGCACCCTGGCTTGGACATTGATGGGCACACACACATGAATACAAACATCGCCAGACAGGGGGCTACTTAGAGAAACAGTTGACTTGGATGGCATGTCTCAGGACTGTATGAAGAAACTGGATCATGAACAGAGCCAGATTCACAGCCAGGACAGTGGCTTAGCACTGCACTGCGCCAGACCATGTGCTCTGTACCTCTTGAAACACCGAATACAGAGCAATAGAACAGTGCAGGTGCACAGTGGCTGAAGCAGCAAGTGAAGAATTACATAACCAGCAAAGACATGAGCCCTGGTTACTTAGTTATAGGAGATACAATGTTTCAGATCATATTAGGTACTCATGCTGTCATATGACAAGAGATAATAACATGACTTGTTTTAGTGGATGTAAGGACCTGTCCTATTATGAAGAGTTCATAGGTTTTGCTAACACACTATGAAATGTATCTGTATTTGGGATCAAACTTTGATTCGATTACAAATCAAGATCAGCTTGATGCTGATATTGAAAACAACAGTGTTGCACTGAACAGGGTTGCTACCTTTGGATGTTGTGGACCAACGTTCATCTTCATCGAAATGTGCGTCTCCCCCCAGTCCTGAGCCCGGAGAGAAGGCGTGGGCCAGCGTCCCGGAGGGGCCGTCGAAGGGAGAAAAGTCTCCGTGCTCTGAAGGACAAGGGTTAAAGCGGCACAGAGGTTCCTTTGGGAGCCAGGAGGAATGATCTACAGGTCGCACTTGTGACTCGTGGAAAGGAGTGATTGCCAATATTTTATACTATTTGAATGAACTACCATTGCATCCACACCCCTTAGCTTTACATTAATGCCACGGAGCTCTTCCATGTAAGCTATTTGGGTATAAATATGTACACATGTATATCTCAACCTGTAAGCATGTTTGTATTTTGTTTTTGATTGTGCAGTGCAGACATTTAGCCCTGATTTTATTCTACAGATGGGTGGTGCAGTGCTCAAAGCAGGCACGTCACCTTGAGCTCACTAGTTTCTAGTCTTACCTCCAGCAGCAAAGGAAATCAAGATGTCTGCCGTGAGGTCAGTGGTCTTTCTGAAGGTCAGGGGAATGACGTCACTCCACACTTTGAGGGCTGCATCTATGGCGTTGTCCACCTCCTGTGTTGTCAGGTCAGGCGTATAATTCACAATTCTGTTGGAAAACAAACAGAAAACTGAGAAAACCCAAGAAGCTTCTTCGACTGTCGGAAGTAATGTCCAGTCCTGCTGCAGGGCGCTTGCCTGTATGAGACGGGGTTGACTGTCCACTTGGCCCTGTCTGAAAACACCTGGTACCGAGCCACGTCAGGCACCCCGCAGCGCGGCTTCTTCATCACCTCCATCGTCTCTGCGTCCAGGCTGCCGGTGACATTGAGCTTGAAGAACGTCTGCATCTCTTTCACCTTCTCCGAGAGGACGTTGGACCCTGCTCCCCGACCCTGCTTCATTTTGTAGAAGCGCTGCAGGTATTGCTGAGCATCGAAACAGAGAGAGGAAAGAGTGTGACACCGAGCACACCGTCCTCCTGTTTAACTTTCCTGTAACTTCACTGCACCTAAAACACATGCAGCAGGCACAGTATGGCTAGATAGTAAGGAATTGATCTAGTCTCTCCATCTCCACAGTTTTGAGCTCCAAATAAACAGGCAGTGGATACCCAAAATCTAATAAGTTTAGATGAGTTTAAATATGAGTAGATCCACATTTTCTCAGTTGAACCCTGAAACTAGCATGAAACATTGCAACCTGAAGGTAGCAGAAAACTTTTTAAAAATGTGTAGCATTACTTTAAACTCTTGCTGCCAATTAATAGGAGCAGCAAGAGGTAGTACTTATTGAGTGTGCGCTCTGGTTAACTGCGGAAATTAGCAAGGTTGTTAATTCAGTATTTTAAATTGTTTCTGATCAGTCTTCTGATAGTCAAAATTGAGATGCATATAAATTACAAATGTATTAAAGTTTGAAATGCGATCCTTTGTATGTGAAAGAGCATTGTGGCAGCTTAATGAGAATGTGACTCCATGTGACTGCGTTTGAACTGTCAGCTGATATTTAAATGCATATCAATCTTGTAAATCAAAAACAGCCAGGATCACTTTGTGGTAAAAAACAATATTTGTTCAGCACTTCTTTCAAAATCTTCAAAACCCTGTAAGATGACAGAAAGGATGGTAGATCAATCACTTCCAGAATTACTCATCATAGAGCATTGTTGTGGTTTCAGCTTTAATTTCATTCACTCTTTTTGTCAAATGATTGAGTAACACAGACGACAAAAAAACCATCAGACATTTTCAAAGAATTTGAAGAGGAACATCAACCACAAATGTTTAAAAAAATGAAAAGTACCTTAAAAGGTTTATCTAATATCTATCTAATATTTAATCACTTTCTTGCATTCATCTTGATTATGATTTTTCAATACTCTCTTCAAAATGGCAAACACTACAGTGTCAATACAGAGCAAATTTCCCACTCTGTGACCTGCAGCTGAAGGAATAGCTATCAGCAGATAAACATGCTGTAAGAGAGCACAGTTAGTAAGTAAATGCATAAAGGATGTGCCTCAGGCACACACTCACTTCTGCAAAGTGCTGGTCATCCGTGCCGAGCTGTGCATCCTGGCCCACAGGCAGGGCTGCAGACAGCACAGCACTGGTGAGGGTGAGCAGAGAAACGCGCACAAGGTACCTGCTCTCCATCTCCACTGTCTCCTTCTCTGCCCCTGAGCCACTCTCCGCTTTTATAGCCTACCGCTGCTTTCACAACTCCTGCAGGTTTGGCGAACAGACTAGACAGAGGATGAGTCACTGGCACAGCCTTCGTGCTGCGTGCAAGACTGGAGCTGCGATGCTCCTGTTGTGTTTCTTCTGTGGGGTTATTGGTTAATGATCCTGCTGAAAGGAAGAGGCAACAGGGCGTGGGAAAGGTGCTGGTGGGGGAGTAAAGAGTGGAGCAACTATCTGCATCATCGTGGTGTCAGCAGAGAAGGGCCTAGGTATGGCCAGTTACCTCTGAGCACAAACACGGGCTCGGGGCTGTTTGAACGTTTAGATGTTCAAATGTCCCGATGGTGGCCTCCTGTGTCCACAGCTTCCCAAAGGTTAGCACATAAGCAGCCAGGTCTCCGTCTTCCTTTCATTCCCCCTGCAGTCCAGGGATACAAGATGAATGGGGGATCTTGAAGACAGAGCCAAGCCCCTGTAAAATCCTGATCCCTGACAACAGAGAGTGGTTGGACGCTCATGGCACTATTAAAGTCATTTCTCTGTAGCCGATTCCTAATACCGCTTGTTCTGCGGCACATGATGGAAGGGAGAGCAATATTTGTACACTGGATCATTTTCTGTTTTTTCAAGAAACATGTCTTCTGGCAGAAACGTGGTACAAAGGCGATATCCCCTTCTCAAAGACTGGGTTCATCAAGATCCTAGAAGTGCTCAACTTTGCTTTCAGCAATTCCGTGAGAATTGATAGCTCCATATCACTGCCTGACCGAACCGATGCCTCATATCAGTGTGTGAAACTATTGTAACTTTACACCTAGAACATGATGACATAAGCTTTTACTATTGTGTAGTGCCATAGATGCTTTTCCCTTAAGAGGCTTTTAATATAATCTGCATATTGTTGATTTCTGCTGCACAATAGAATGGAATGTTAAAATGTAATTGTAAATGTCAGCATTTGTCCAGTTTCCTCTTTGTGCGTGGTGATTCATACGGATGAATCCCCTTTTCCGGAAAAACTTTCCAATAAAACTGAGGAGTTTTTTACACCTATGTTAGCATGTTAATCATTTTAATAAATCGCCTCCCTAAAGCAAACAGCTTTAGTTATTGTCTTTCTTAGACTGCGTTGCGCCGAACACTGCATCTATTGTTGTAAAATAATAATTTACTTCCTGGATTTCTTACCAGTTAATTTGTTTTTTTGCACCCCTACCAGGAAATGCATGAAAGGAAAATAAACAAAATGCCTTTTTCTTACTTGTAAGAACTATTTTAGGAACACATTTACACAAAAAAGAAAAGGTCCTTTTATAATATCAGTGGGTCTGTTTCAGGAAACTGCACTTTGAACATACGTATTCTGAGGCACTCTCTGGAAAAAGAGCACTCCCAGAAAAACAAAACTGTTCTTTCATTGCCTGAAGTACATTCTTCTCTTACTATCCAAAGACCTAAAATGAAGACGTTCTGAAGTGTGCTACAAGAAAAGATGAGATGATATCGAAGGAAATTCACAAAGTCCATCCATCCAGAGACAAGGCAGGATACTCCCTGGACAGGACACCGTCCACAGGGCAGACAGACACAAACACAGCACAAAGACATGCTCTCACATCGGGGCCAGTTTTCCCAGAAGCCAGTTATCTTACTAATATGTCTGTGGACAGGAGACCCATGCAAACGTGGGAAGAAAGTACATCATGAAGTTTCTGAAGAAAAATTGCTTCTAAAACTTATGAGTATACTTATTCCTGCAGTTTATTTCTGATAGGAGGTTTTAAGAAATATTTTCCATTGAGACACTCTAGGACCTGACTTTCCCAAAAGTTTCAACATGAAAGTAACACAGAAAATTATGGGATGCACACAGACCTGATTACCTTCTTACGCAAAACAGATTAAAGTTTTTTGGATGCACTGAGGTTGTGAAACTTCACTTTAAGGGCTGTGTAGTCCATTTCACAAAAACACCTCTCAGTCTGTACCCAAAGGAATGTGTCTGTAGGCAAGGAAACACCCCCCAGTCTGTAGCCAGAGGAATGACATTTTACCAAATAAGGATATTACAAAGGCCAAAAGAGATATAGAAATATTTCAGTGGTTAATAAAATAAATAAATAATAAAAGGTTTTTTTATATTACAACAATAAAACTAAAAGGGAAATGGCTGATATATCACATTAATATTCTGTGTATTTGTGTAGTAGAGTACAAGTTGATAACATGCTTCAGACTCGGGCTCTGCAAAGCTTCAGGCCCTGATGTATTCCATCAGTTGTACTTAAGAAAACACAATAAGTCTGATTTCTATTATTATTTTATATAAAGGTTATGGAAATGAAAATTGGAATTAGAGCATCATGTACAGTACATTGAAATAAGATCCCAGGGGACTGACAGTATGCATAGATATGGTAGTTCTTGCTTAACTAACTTGTTAAAGTTCTTTGAACATGCAACGGCAGTAAGAGTTTCAGAAGGCCTTTGATGAAGTTTCTTGTCAAAGACTCATTCTCAAACAAGAATTATTACAAGCAATTAACATTCAAGGCAAAGTATGTGTTTGGAGTGATAATTGGCTAATTGACAGGAAACAGATAATGGCTGAATGCTCTCCACTGTGGTGTTTAACACATGTTTAATGAAGGGAGCTCATTCATAAATTAATATCCTACACTGACAATTTAATTGAAAGAATAGAATCTATTCAGTGTTTTGTAGAAAACTATAAAATCTTTTAAGTCATTGATAAACTCAACCTAGTGGACTTCTTCTGAAACAAACTGAGAACAGGAGGCACGTTTTTACAGAAAGGGTTGTGGGAGTCTGGAACAAGCTATCCAGCCATGCTGCTGTTGTTTTTAAGAGATGACTGGATGGGATCCTTGTGTGAATTAGCTACTAGCATCTAAACCACCAACGTGGGCCAAGCAGTCTCCTCTCATTTGTAACCTTAATGAGGTTTTTACATTTAAAATTCAACCTTGGTGGAAGGGATTTCTGATTCAAATATCTTGTGCTCCGTGTGTGGTTTCTCCATGCAATAAAAGGTGTGTGTAAATTACCCTGTTATGAAATGCAGTAGAAGTCTCCCTCTCAGCTGTATTTTCCTCAAAGTACTGCTCCTGCCTTCAAGTCATTTGAGCTCTAGCCACAAGAGCTGCAGGCCGCAGAGCCCAGCTGTGACTGAGCAGTGGGCTGTGCTTGAAGGGGGGCAGCAGAGGTGTCCTGATCGCCTTATTTGGCCATGATTCACCTGCGGAGTCTGGTTTAAGGAAGTACAGTTAGAAAAAAAGAAATAAAGCTGGAACGCACAGTTAACCATAATCATACACATCCACACTCTCTTTTTAAATTGGGAGATAAAACGAAATATTGCAGTGCAATTTCAGAATTTTGATCTAAATTTGATCATGAGTCAGTTTTTATTTTAAGAGGCAACTTCCTGGGCTGGTTTGGAATGAAATGATCAAATGCTAAATATTTCCTTTTAATGGCAAAGGATATAATTGCATTTAATTATTCTTAAATATATAGTTTAATATATTTATATAAAAGAGAGAAGACATTGCTGTTCTGGAACCAGCCTAAAAGGGGTTAAAGGACTCTCCCACACCAATATGCTGAAAGAACTGAACTGCGGGGAGACAAGACTACGGGGGACCCCGTACAATATTCAAAATTCTCACTGGCACTGACATAGTCCATGCAGAGGGCAGGAAAAATCCCCAAAGAGGGGGCACAAAAAGTGGATGTATAGAACATGCTACCCAGCCATATTGTTGAAGCTGAAACCCCAGTGTTTGTCAGGAAACTGCTGGATGAGATTGCTGGATCAATTTGCTACCAATTACTAAACAAGCTAAATGGCAAAAAACGACTCATTTGTAACCCTTATGTTCTTTCTTACGACTACACATTATTTTTTTTCCCACTCAATCATTAGGGGATGAAGGAGCCGTGAACATATAACGTTAAAGAATAGCGGTAGTCGATTTAAACACCGTGACCCGTTCCCCGGGGGCAGATACAGGGCGACAAGACAACTGGGGCTGAAACCGCTATTGGTTCGTTTCTGTCATTTACACCAAAACAATTTAATAGTGAGTCCCTGAAAAGAAAACAAGCAAAACTAACTACCCTGCCATAACGGAAAAAGCCAACCTAACTTACTCCAGCCCGGAATATAAAAGTGTCAGAGCCAAAGAAAGGTCCTCCTCAACCTAAACTCACTTTTCTACCCTAAACTAACATACAGTAAATTACAATACAGGGACATCACTAAACTGATTAGCAGAAGGACAAACCATGGAAACACGTACGCCTTAGTTGCCTAACGAAAGTCCACACTCACGGACACAACTAATGCACACTGCAGATGAGTGAGCAAAAAAAACTCAAACGCCAGACAAGTCCGAGAAAGAAACTCCGCTTCTGAATGATTGTAAAAGTGAGAGACAAGTTCACCGTCAAGCTGGAGGAAACGAATTTATTTTGAGACGAGAGGCGAGGCCAGCAGCTCAACATCCAATAAAAAAGGAAGCGTCTTCTACCCGGATTAATCCAATAAACAAATCAGAAAAAAAAACACGGCCAGCCTAGGGCCGTGACATGTTAGATATACTTGCTCCTAAAGAACACTACATCAAAAACCTTCCCTGTGATAGAAATGTGATTTCGATTCTCACAGCAAACAATTTAGTATCAGTGATAAGATCAGCAGCACATAAAGTGACAAGGACATTCACAGCAGACCGCAGTGTTTCCCAATGTTAAATCTCGGACACACATCAGCACTCAGGACTATAAATAATATCCAAATGCAGTGTTTCTTTTTAAATCAGGTTTAACTATGATAGCTGAAAAAAAACATGCTTAATGTGGGACTAAATATTCTTAAATTTATTGTAATGCTTGCGAGTGTACAGTAAATGTTATGAATGTGTGGTGTACGGTGTTTTCCTATGTTTTTCACAGCTTAAATAACACCTCAGAGGTTGTCTCCATCCTGGTGATGTGTCTGCTCTTTTGCTTCCTGACAGTACATCTGGATTCATTTTTGCTCTTCTAAGACAGCGACAGTGTAGGTTTACATGCCTATCACATGCTGGATCCTACAGCTGTTTTCTCTGAGTGTTGGGTCACGTCTTGAAGCGGTAAGAGTTGTATTTTATCTTGCCTGGCGCCGTCCCCAGATCTCTCCTGCTCGATATCAGCAGCCGAGCCAGGCGTTGGCTCTGACTGCATACAGGACCTGCCTCTGTCTGTAGTCGTACTTGTAGGCTTTGGGTCCAGAAAAGAAGTGTATATAACCTGTCGAGAAAACACACAGCGAAGGTAACCTTAAAAAGAAACTCAGGAACTTTTACAGGCTTGGTTTGGAGCTCATACTGAAGTAATATTAGCAACGTTGGAAATTTGCTCAATACTAAATCACCTACACACTTTTCAATATTCAAAGTCTTTTGCTCCAGGATAGAACATGGTTCTCAGTTTCTGAAAATAACTGTAACTTATTAACAGCAGAAACTGAATTAAAAAAAAATTTCACACCAGAAAAGGTAATGAGGTACAAGCACACCAGTCAAAAGACAATACTCTGGAAAAAAAACACCCAGCAGAACAGACACCTCTGTCCTGAAACACTGTTTTTTTGGAAAAGTATATGAACTCACTTGGGTTATTGACAATAACTAAATTTCTTGCAAAATGAAGTATGAAATAACTAAATGTAATAAGTGTAAGTGAGTATGCAGTTTTCTTTTAATCATGGATGATCAGTAGTAAGTATTGTACAGGAAGTAAGCAAATAATCAGAATTCATACTTTTTTTTTTCACTTAACGTAGTTTTGGAACATCAGCTCACTGAGTTTTATTTTGAGTCTTCTATCCAGGGTCATGTCTGTCTGTCCTGGCCTGTAGCTGTCCTCCTGTATCTTGTCACTGAAAGGACAGCACAAGGCTCCATCCAACAGGAACAAGATTCTCAGCAAGGACCAACTCTCCCAGCTCACCTGCCAGCTCAAAGGCTGCGTCTATTTTACTTCCAATTCCTGGCCAGTCTGTTCTGATTCTCCTCGGGAATCCAGGATCCATCCTGCTCCAGGTCTCGTCAAACCTGTGGAACAGGAAGTCGAGTAGCAATGCAACAATTTATGCTCCAAAATGTGTTTAATTAAACAATCATTAAACATTTCCTTTACAATTTTTAGATTACGTTAGCCATCTATCCAGCAGGTACAAGTAGGCAGGCTGCACGTCTGCCGCCCTCTTGTGGCTAAACCGATTATTTAACATTTTTCATGTACGAATATATGGTTCATCAAACTGATGGTGTGGAATTGCCTTATGACGAAGGATTTCAGGTGATATTAATCCAGTGTCCAAAACTAATATACATGGTTTTGTTTCATATTAGGTGCTGTTGTAGAGATATGAACTCATGTTTATGACAAAATAGCAGCTATTAGCAAACTCTCTTTCTCTGTATGGGAACATTTAGGAACTCTCTTGCAAAAGTGGGATTAGACCTGTGATGAGTAAAATCTGAAACCATTTGATAAACAGGAATCCTGCTGAAAGCAATGCTATCTGGTAACTATCTGAATCTTTAAAAATGATTAAAAGTGATCTTTAGAAGTGCATACCTGTAATATCTCTCCCCTACAAAGAAATAAGTCTTTCCATACTCTTTGACATGAACAGCCGCATCAACTTGCTTCACATCTGTGGGAAAGCCAATGTCGTAGATTGAACCGGAGTAGCTTTTCATGTTTAACTGCTGCACAATCCAAAATTTTGGACCTAGAAAAGATTAGATTGTAAAGATTACTGTATGCTTTTATTTAGCAGAAATAAAACTAATGTGCATTTAGGCATAGAAGAATACCAAGCCCTTAGACTGAGGAGCTGTCTTAAAATGACAAGCTTGTATAACGACAAAAGAAGAATCCAATTAAATTAGATGAGGATTTTTCAAAAGAAGACGTTTATTGAACTTTGAGAAGTGGACTGATAATACGCCATGAATAAGAATGAATTTGATTGTGTTTAAAACACAGCCAGTCGCAAAAAGTGAACCAGAGGACACAAGGGGAAAGTAAGGGGAAGTGCATTTAAAACCAAGAAGAGGAAGCACCTCTTTACTCAAAGGGTTGTGGGAGTGTGTAACAAGTCACCCAGTCATGTTATTGAAGAAAATACTCTGCTTTCTTTCAAGACACAAGGAATGACCCTCAGATTAAAAAACGAATAACGACCAGCAGAGCTAGACAAGCCATATGGCCTCTTCTCGTTTGCAATCTGGTTTAAATTCTTATGTTGTGATGCTCAGTGCTGTGTAGTATTGTGCAGAGAGGCTGATGAGCTCTTGAGCACTGTGCTTTACCGGTGAAAAGGTAGGCCACTCCTTTGGCAGGGATGTCGTAGGCAGCATCAACCGGAGAGCTGATGCTGGGCAGGAGGGAGCTGATGAGGCCTTCGCGGAGAGAATTCCAGTTCATCATCCATGTCATCCGCAGCCACATGTAGCTGGACAGTGGAGGACACACAGACAGCAGGAATGTCAAAGAGCAACGGTACCAGCTGAACAAAGACCCACTACTGTATGTATTCTGGATAAGTACAGGGGTGCAGGAGACATGTCCTTTCCTGATATAGTCCTGGATGGTGTTTCAGTATGTGTATCTCGTACCCAGGGCACCAGGCTTGACGTAAGGCTTTGCTTGGTGGATAATCACTATCATGCAGTCATTCACTGGTGCTGGCCGCTGTGAGAACAGCTGAGGGTCTTCTCCAAGGTCATCAGTGTGACACAGATCAAGAGTGGCACAGCGACCCCGTACCTGTTTTTAAAGAAGGCAATGTCTCGTCCAATCACAGCAACGGCATCGAAAGAAAGGTAGGGGTCGCATTTCTCAGGGGGGGGCAAAGCCACAGGTTTTCTGCCTTGGAAAGGGAAGCCTGGGTTACGGACAGGGCAGCAAACTCATCCTGTACAGAGTATCTCACCGTAGACTGTTTAAGGCAAACGGCTTCTTAAAGTCACTTTCCACAAGACAAGGCCTTTTTGAAGTGCATTGACAGTTAGCATTGTCCACCACTTACCATAGAGCTCCTGGATGCCCAGGACATCATCTCTGGGCAGAGAGTATGTGGCTGGGTTGTAGTATTTGTAGTTTGGGTACATTAAAGCAGAGGGGTCCTTGGAATGAGACAGCCCCAGGGTGTGGCCAAACTCATGGGCGGCCACAGTGAACAGGTTGTAGCCTGAAACAAAAGAGTCTGTATTATACTAGACCTCAGGAACATAAGCCCTAGTAATCGAATGTCTGTGGGTCACAGCTACTTTCCAATTGAATTTCCTAAGCCACCTGGGACCACCTGTGACCCAGCCTGAAAGAGCCGTGTGAGGTTAGTGTCTGGTGGTCGAGAGAGGATGAAACAATGCAGCACACTGAATAAATACAACATTTTCCAAAGAGGTTTGTCTTCCTCTGTCATGACCCAGTGTACACAATCCTAAAAAATGTATTTTAGTCAAATATCAGTATCGGCAACAGGAACAGAATGCACATTTAAATAATTTAATATAATAGAAATTATTTTTTAAGCAAAGTGGGGATAATTATTATTTTGGATTGTTGGATTAGATAAAAATGTATTATTTAGATAATTGTTGCTAAAGGCTAGGAGCCAGAATTCAGGGTTATTATAGTTGTAAACATTTTCAGCATTTTCTGCACAACCCCTGGAGTCAGCATGTCGATTGTTATCAAAGGGAAAATAACAGTTGGCATTTAACTGGCATTTATTCAGTCATAAAACATGGCTGTAAATCAAGAACATATATCCTTGAAATGTTTTCTGAACTTCATTTATTAATCTTTCAGCTGAAAACAAGATATCACTTGTGTCTGCAGGGTTTCTTTGAGCATGCAAGAGCACTCGATTAACTTAGTAATTAAGTACCTTAGTGCTGCTGGCCAAGAAAAACAAAAGCAGAAGCAGAAGGATCGTGAGGGGGGGCAGCGAGACACTGCGAGACACTGCCTGTCGTCCTACCAGGCTTCTTGTTCCCCATGGTCCAGATTTCATCCTCGTCAAAGTGTGCGTCCCCTCCTATGTCCTCGCCGGGCTCGAAGGCGTGAGCCAGCACTCCTTTCGGCCCGTCGAAGGGGAAGAAGTCCCCATGGGCTGCAGGTGGAGAGAGGAAGTATGGTCATGGCTATCGGAATGCTCTGGGATCCCGGGCACGGTATCCCTGCTCTAGCCTGGCAAAGATGAGCGAACAATAGCGCTTATTTGTGATTCAGAAAAAGCTGATGATATCCAGTCATTATTTTCTCAGAGGAAAGTTTTCTGGTTTTGTTTTCAAATAAAGAATTCTGCAATGTGTCAACATTAACCCTGTAATAACTGTACATATCATTAACTTCTTGAATATGAGACAAAATTCCTTCATTTCTACACAAAGTGTAGCTTTTTCCTGCTGTACAGCATTAAAGTGTGGCTTTTATATGTGCACACAAGTTTCAGGTTAACAGGGGCCATTGACTTGATCCCAGCACTGAGATGTCATACACACCGTTTCGAAACGCGAGTGCATTGTAGCCTCATTCCAACTCTTTTCCCAACCGCGTCTGTGCGAATGACCCTGAACAGTTCATTGGTGCTGCTATAGTGTATGTGCTCAGGACTGGCCCAAGAGAGAAGTGGACATCCTTCCTTCAGGCAACACCTTGGAAATTCAAAGTTGGGTTAGAAATGGCAGAAGAAAGAATCTTAATTCCGAACAGGTGTACCTTTAGACCCAAAGTTAATCATGATGTCAGCCTCCCCATGGTCCAGCCTCACAAATTTCAGCGGTGCTGCATCGCTCCAGATCTTCAGCGCCTGCCTGAAAGTCCTCTCAACGTCCTTTCTCTTGAGGTCTGGGGTGTACTTTACAATCCTGGAGCAAAACACGGGAACACAGGGCAGGCTACAAACAGCACGAAGCTCTTCGCTCTGCTGGACTTGTCTGGATGCTAAGAGCCTGTCGATCCAGGACTCTGCTCCAGCTGCTTTGTCAGCCTGACTGGGGAGACTATACAAGACGGCAAACCCTGAGACCCCGCGGGCCGCCTGAGGCAGACAGAGGCCAGTCTGGACTGAGCCTGGCAAGAATGTTGTGATATGCGTTTTAAATATTTCTGAATCGATTTGATTAAAATTTGATTAAAATATTATATGCAGATACAGTTTTAATGTTTAAGGAGCTGGTCATCTGTATTAATAATAGTTTACTGACAAGACCTGAGGATATGAAGTTCCTTTAATATATTTTAATACAATACACGCCTGATGAAGTTAATGGATAGTAGGTGACGTGACAAGTGCATGAGAGCTAGCGTGGCTGACACAGCACTTCTGTTTCCTGCAAAGCTACAAAAATCATATAAATGAAAAGTATCTTAACCTTAAAAGCATGTAAATGGGAACATATGTTTGAGATACCTTCTGTGATGGACATTCTCTGCTTCTGGGACTGTGTATGCATATGTCTTTAAACATTCGGATCCTTCACAAAATGTGCTGTAAATGCACACAAGCTAAGCTGTTGTGGAGAATGGCTGTGGATGTTTAATATGAAACAATAGCAGTAAGATGCTTCCCCTTACCACCACATTTGGTGTCATTATACATGTGAGAACAGGGCAGTGCAGGCCATGGCAGAGATCCTTTAAGCCAGCAGCTGCACAGGCCTTAAATCAGCCACAGCCACAATGTGCTCACAACTCACTATACTGTGCATAACGTATTAATCACATCGCCACAGAGGAGAAGTAAAGAGATGGAAATTAACCTTTTTATTTCCAGTTTCAACTATCACTGATGGTCATCCGGTCATCATAACTTGGATTCATCTTTTTCATCAGTAAGTAATGAAAAGGAAGGAAGGAGCAGTGCTCTCTCTGGCTCGTCACAGACGTGAGAATGCAGTGTGGTCTGGCATGCCTCATTCTGCCGGATTCCTGCCTCATTACTTTTTACCTTTAATTGCCTTTGGGTTTAAGTAGCCTGCAGACAATGCGGTTAAAGAATGTGTGCAAGGTTGGTTCTGCTGTGCTGTTTTATTCCACTGACAAGTCCATTACGGAGAAGGTGGCTGAAGGATCGAGGTTTGTAGTTATCAGAGAACATCACTAATCTGCAGAACCTTGTCAGCATTGAGGTACAGCAAGAAAACAGTAAAGCACTGTAAAGCACATAGAAAACACAGTACAAGCATTGTAATACAAAGACAGGTAGGGTAAAGCATAACACAAGCATGGGAATCCGCACTAAAGCAAGGTGAACATGGGAAAGCTGGTGCTGCGGTAAACTGTCAACCCCCAGTCTAAATTTTATTTCAATTGACAGATTTACAAATTTCTAAGACACCAGGAATGATCAATGTACCTTACATTCAAGTTGATATAAACACTGAAGACATCTATTTTTTCAAGCATAAAAGTTGTTGTTTTTTTCCCTGCTTGGCTTGTATCGAAACCCCTGGATGTGCCTCTGGAGTCACCTGTAGGTTACAGTGCTGTTCCTCCATCTGGGTTTGTCGGGGTAGAAGCTGTAGTTCTCCGTGTCGGGCACGCCACACCGCTCTCTCTTCATCACCGCCACGGTCTGCCGGCTCAGCCGCCCGGTCGCCTCCAGCCCGAAGAATTCCTGCATCTGGCGGAGCCTCTCCTCGGCGGCCGCCGCCTGCCTTCTGGTGCGCGTCCCGTCGGCCTCCCTCAGGGGATAGAACCTGCTCAGGTACTCCTGTGGAAGGGCAACCGGCTCTTTAACAGGCCCACCGCGCTGCCCTTCGAACGCTGTGGCATGGTTTATCTCCTGCTGCAGGTGCACAAAGCAACAAACTTTGTCGTGTCGCTGTCACTGCAACGCTGATCTATATTTCACATCCACACCCTTGCATGTGTGGGGGCTCCCAGTTTCTTCAGTTATCAAACAAACCTGGACAAACCTCAAGCTGCAGAATCTCTAAGTAAAAATTGCAGAGCTTTTCCGAAGGGGAAGATGCTTCACACGGGCTATTGACGTCTACACAGGCCTGTTTTGGGGTAAGTCAATAAAATACACTTTACCTGTCAGGGCAGCACAATTAGAATAAACCGTTCCCAGCAGTAGTACATGGAAAACCTGAATCGTCATGGGCCAAGCTGAAATCCAATCATTGGTAGAAATAATGTTGCAGCCTTCGACATTTTGATAATCTTCTTCTTCTTCAGAATATGTTTTTGCTATGCCTGAGGTCATCAGTGAGAACAACAGTAGGATATACTGTATACTTTCAGTCAAAGACTTTTTGTAGTAGACTTATGACTGTTTTGCAGAAAAGCAAAAGGTACTGTTGAATGCATCAATAGACAAGGATGACTTCATTTTACAAAACCACTGTCTAGAGATTTCTCTGGATTGTTTACCATTAAAGCCTGCCCTGTACACCGGCACTCACGCCTCTCAAACCAGGCACAATAATTACAGACCCTCTACTGCTCAGAATAATACAGTTGAATTTGCTTGGGTGGGCTTTCTTGTTAATGACTGTGCAGTATGTAGATGGCTGTTTAAGATCTTGACATCAAGGTATTCCAGGAGACTAAAACAGCAGAATTTATCTAAAGAAAATAATGTATTGTTCTCTTTACAGCTTTGCCCTGCAAAGCAAACGTCCAAAAATGTACTGACAACATAAAATACACACCAAACAGAGCTCTAACAAAGTGCACAAGTATATCACTTTCTCAACAATTAATTCTTATTTCATTGCTTTCTGTTTTGAAGGATGTTTTAATTTATTAAAGCAGATGTGAGACAAAACTGCTTGACATCACACTGTTCCTCTAAAGGTTGAACCAAAATGAGAAAGTGATGCATGTGTAAGAGTTTTTTTTCTCTATATATAGTACTTTATGTAAACAAACATCTGTGGGATTTTTGTTGCTAAATACATGAAATTTCTAAATGAACAGAAAGCGTCCCTCATCTATGTTAGACCTTCTGTGAGCTGTTAATTATATTTCTGCATGCGCTTACTGCTCATAGACTAGAGACTATCACCTCCCTGTGACACACTTCAAAATTAGATTGTCGGTGGGGTTTTCTCCCCCAAAAAATACATTGAAAAAAACAGACCTCAGCAAAAGTCACATCCTCTGGCTTCAGCTCTGATTCAGCTGCGATGGGTAAAGTCACCACGAGTGTCAGATTCCCCAGCAGGAAAAGCAGAGAACTCCAAGGCAACATCTTTTACAAACGAGCACTTCAGCCCAATTGTTTCATTTTACCTTTGGCTTTATAGGGCTGAACGTGTTTTCAGGATTCCTGGCAGGTGAATCACGTGTGCTCACAGCTCACTGAAAACCCTCAACCTAACAGTTAAGTAGCTTACAGGACCAGTGGTTACAACTGCAGTAGCAGACAAGGGAGTCCTGCGCTGTATCTGCGTGAGGTAACACTGTTTTCTCCAGCCCAGAGCCAGGGTAAGAGCTTGCCCAGGTGTGGCAGTGGGCAGATGAAGCTAATTCCATCTCTCTCTCTTCAGTGGAGCTCTGTGAGGTCTCAGGTGTCTGTGTTCACATGTTACTGTCGGTTATTTGCATCTCCAAGATGCTGCCTTCTTTTGTGAGGAACCAATAATAGAAAACATAATTCTGGGATTTATTGTTAAAGGTGTTCAATTTAAATAAAGGCATCTTTATTTAAACAATGCACGAATAAGATCATTTAGAAAAGAGGGAAGTTGTATCAGTTTAGCTGCAAAAACAAGTAGAGGTTAATTCCATGCTGAAAAATAAGAAAGATGAAAATAAACACAATGTGTTTATTTCAGTTGTGACATCTTCATCAGGTGTGGCTGCTGTGGGTTTTCTTTTTTCATTTTGTCTTTCAGTGTGGGAATGACCTTTTCATTCATTGTTCACCTTTTGCCATTCAAAAGGTGTAGAATATTGTGGACAATTTTGGTAATCATATTACTAAAAAGATATTGCTCTTGTAAAATCGGTCCATGGAAGAACAATCAGATATATTTACAGACTAAAAGGAGGATCCTCCACTGACAGATTAAAAGAACTGAAACATTTCAATCCTGATGAGCTCATCCAAGCATTCCTAATCCTCAGAATCCTCAAAAGCTTCAACACAATTAACACAGAATCAATAAAGAAACACAAACCTAGGACAAACATAAACACAAACCCTACCTAGGAGGTTAGTGGAAATGATACAGGAGAGGTCTTAAGTACAGTATAACATCCGGAGGAATTTACAAATCTCACTGTGACCTGTAAGGAGAATCTGTACAATTCTGATCCCCAGAGAGAAGCTGCACTTGCCTCTTTATCATTTCTTCTTAATACCCTTAACTTTCCACAAGTCCTTACAAACTATCCAGTTACTACATCACCTACAAACCACAGACTCTTTGGCATTTTTCTGTGTTCCTTCGTATTAGTCATTTAGGACTGAGATTAAGCTGCTCAACAGGGGGGTGTGAGTGGGAGGCAGCTGTCCAGCCGTGTTGTTGAAGCTGATGCCCTGGCTTCCTTCACGAAGTGGAAGGAGGAGCAGATCCCTGGATCCTACTAACTACCACACAGGCTAGACAATTCCAACCAATGTGTTCCTGTGGTTCATTCTAAATGGCAATGATGAAATCTTGTGTGACATTTTGTAAATTTTTATGCTTTTACAACTTGCACATCTGATCTTTGGACTTATATTTTGTTAATATTGGTGTAAACTTGTCCCATGATTCTTGTGCTCCTGTAGTCTGAGTTTTTGAACAGCTTTCCATGTGAAGAAGACTTCAACCTGACTGACTGTTATCAAATATATCTGACATTAGATTTAGGGACATTAAATGCACCATCTCTATCTGGTTTAAAGCTTGATTTAGAGAGGTTTTCCCAGTGAATAGTATGCATTACTTTTACATATCACTTATTTTAGGACGTTTTAAAAAAGACAGAAAGAAACATCTGCATACAACAGGATAAAGATAATGTGTACACATTAACTGACAAACATTTTAAAATAAAATTGTCCAAAGAAATTAACTCTGCTTCTATTTGCTCTTCTATACTTCAAGCAAATTCCCTAGAGCAGAACAGAACAATTATCTTCAACAATTAAATTGCTCAGACGTTACCAAAACTCTTGGCTGTAATTCTTCGGTGAACCTCAGCTATTTTCTGGCAGCATTCAACACCATGAGGAAATGAGGTGCTTGAAGATGCTTTTTTATCTTACTGAGCCTTTTGATAAATTTAAATTAAGGTGCTAAAAGTAAAAACAATACTTGGTAATTACAGATAAGTCTTTTAATTAATTCAGACAGTGTTTTTTAATCAAATTTTAAAAACAGATTCACTTGGTTTAAAGTGCGCTGAGCTCTTGAGAGTTGGAGGTTGTGATTTTGAAGACGACTGATAAACCACACCAGACTGATAAATATTTTTCTCCTCAGTCTAGTGTCTCTCTGGGTAGACAGACTCTTCCAGACCTCTGTTCTTCCACATGATTCATGCGCTGAAATGTTTTATCTTGCGATCTAGAACTTACAGTAGGTTTGTTAATTAAAAACCTGTGTGGAAGCATCTGGGAATGAAGCCTCACTGGTTCACACAGGTCACAGGAAGGAAAAGGCGCATGAAACGATTTTTGTTAATGAGCCCCAGGATTTCTCTTCCCACTTTCCCCCAGACAATTGAGTACCTACTAGTAAACAGGACAGTAACGGAATCACAATGCTTAAATTTCCAAACCAAAGAAAAAGGAAAATGAACTACAAAACAAATGTTTACTCAGGCATTTGGACATCATGGGTAAGATGATGATGATGATGATGATGATGATGACAATAATTCCTTAAACTATATAGCGCTTTTCAGGACACTCCACTCAAAGCACTTTAAAGGTAAAGGGGTCTCCTCACCACCACCAGTATAGCCCCAGCTGGATGATGCGACAGCAGTCAGAGTGTACCAGTACACTCCCCACACACCACCTCTCAGTGTGGGGAAGAGAGTAATGATGCCAGTTCAGAGATGAGGATTATTAGGAGGCCATGATTGGTAAGGGCCAATGAGAAATTTGGCCAGGACACTGAGGTAACACCCCTACTCTTTACGAGAAACACCCTGGGGTTTTTAATGATCACAAAGTCAGGACAACAATTTTATGTCTCACCCGAAGGATGGCGCCTTTTTACAGTAGAGTGTCCCCGTCACTATACTGGGGCATTAGGACCCACAAAGACCGCAGGGTGAGCGCCCCCTGCTGGTCCCTCTAACACCTCTTCCAGCAGAAACCTTAGCTTTCTTAGGAGTCTCCCATACAGGTATTGACCAGGCTCACACCTGCTGAACTTCAGTGGGCTGCCGGGGTGACAACTAAGTTAAGAAGGTGTGTTAACAGGGAAGACGACAAATTAAAGAAAAGCAGCATGAGGTTATTGAATCCACAGTTCTGTACTGGTGTGGCATCCAGCATGTGTGGAGACGGATGACCTGTGTTGACCTGGTGTCCCAGACAGGGGGTGATCTGTGCACCGGGGGCCGGGTGTGAGCTCTGGTTTGTACTGGTCCTTCACCAGGGCGCAGGACGTTCAGAGAAAGAGATGAACACACTGCCATGATCAAGAGCGATTTCTATCTGCAAATGGCCTTGCCAAGACCTCTCTAACTGGAGCAACTGTAGTATAGCTCCTGTCAAAGCCATGTAAATCACAAATTCATTTTCTATAACTTCTGTAGAATTAAGACATATAACATATCCAGCTAATCAACAGGGTTTTGCAAACAATACGCTTCTTTTTGACAAAATGGACTGCATTTATCTCTTGAAGAATCTTTCTCTGTGCTATAGGAATGAATATTAAGTAGCTCTGTCCATTCAAAGTGCTGAGAGGCATGTCTCACTGATGAGCCCTAATGTTTGAGTATGGAATAGAGGCTGCACACCCTTAAAAGCCACAACAGCCCTGAAAGGAGCTATGGAACATGTTATCCACCATGTAGGACACGTTGTCTATCAAAATGTTTTTATGAAAGAGCGTAGTTTCTGTTTTACCATGTGCTCTTCCACTGCCATGTTTTCCTGCTCGCAGAGCACAGAGTGTGGTTTCAATAGAGGCTTGGAGTTTGTGTGCTTAGTGCATTCTTGGTAGCAGCATGTCGTGTTTCAGCTTGTCCCTTTTTACAAGAGAAAACCACACATAATCCGAGCTCAAGTCTGAAGTGTGGAGCTGTGCTGCAGATACGAGGTAATGATTATCCCACTTATTGCATGTGCAGGAGACCGTAATGTACAGTATGAAGATGAAGAGTACATGAAGATTGAAGATACATTAGAAGATGTTGTCTACATAGTCTATATAAAAAAAATCCAGTAAAATTCTGCTCTGTAGGTGAATTGATATACCAAATCCAGAATTATAGTAGTAAATAAAAAAAAAATAGAACAAAGGTGGCAAAACATTCCTTGATACTTGTAATTGTTCCCAATTCAGGTAATAAAAACACAATTTCATACAAGGGAAGGAAAACATATTTCAAACACATAAATACATATGCAGATATATTTATTCTATAGTCCCTTGTAAGTGAATAAAAAACAATATGAAATTTCATGAGCAAAGACAAATTCAAGTTCTGGGAAAGAAAGCAGAATCAGTTATGAAGTACCAGTTACCAGGCATATAGTAGTAGATGTGCTTCCGTCTGTTTTTTGGTCTAGATTATTTATAATACATCTATACAAACACTGATATATGACAACACAAGTGACAGTTTCCTCTGTAGACCCCACTAGCAGCCCAGCCAGCTACTTGCTGTCTCTGTCCCAACAATCTGCTTCTGGCTGTTGTCAAACACCTGTACGGATGCGCCGCTGAAGAAGTAAAGGAAACCTGCAGAAACACGACAGGAGCGCTGATGAGGGACACCGAGCGAGGTCTGTGTGGAGGAACGCAGAGGGCCGAGCCTCTGCATTCACTACAAAGCAGACTAGATGGACCAAATGGCCTCTCCTACTGTAAGTCATCTTTCTTATGATCTTACGTAAATGTCTTAATTTAATTCAGAGAGGAAACAATCAAGAATCTTGGAGTAAAATGTTTTTCACAGGTTAGATCTGGCTAAAATTGAACATGAAACACCTTATTTCGTTTTGAACATGAACATGAAGCACCTTTTTTCATTTCTTGTCATTACTCCCTACATCATTCCCTTTATGAAAACTGGGGGAAGAATAAAGAAGACCCTTTATTTTGAAGGCATGCACCTTAGGGATGCAAACCTGTTGTTCGTACTGTTCACTGTGCAGGTGCCTTGAAATCAAAGCACTTCTACTTTAGTTAGAAAGATCTAAAGCTCATGCTAAATTAAATTCCTTGGGTCTTGAGCAGATACAGGGTCCTTCCTGCATCTAACTGAATGAATGACACCTCATTGCTCTCAGCATGATAGTTACCATCTTTCTCAGCTGCTGCATCTATCCGACCAGCAATCCCTGGGAAGTCATCGGCCACTTCTCTGGGATAGTGCTCATCCATGGCTCTTGTGCTCTCATTGTAACTGTTATTTAAAAAGAGGATCTGCGCATTCAGTCCCATGAATCTCAACAAGGCAATTCAGGATTCTAAGCAACAACTCAGCTTCCTGCTGTCACATCGAGGCCACGACCTCCCTTACCTCCAGTATGTGTCGTTGACAAAGAACAAAGTGTTTCCGGTCTTGCTTACATGCACTGCAGCGTCGATTCTTGTCACCCACTCAGGGAACCCCAGCCCGTAGATGGATTTCGGTCTGCCCTTCACCCGGGACCCCCTCACTGTCCAGTAGCTGGATCCTTGAAGGGACGCACAGGAAGAAAAAAACAGTCATCTGGACCCTGACCTTGGAAGTTTTAACCTACAGTAGTGAAGTAAAGGAGTAAAGAGCGCTGCGCCACCATGGGGGATGATACCTTTTAAAAGGACAGTGCTTGATCTTTGAGGCAGAGAGTAAGCAGCATCAATGTCTGATGGGACCTGCGGCAGGAAGTTACTGATGAGCCCAGCTTTTACACTGGGCTGCTGCCCGTGTCTGAGCCACAGATACCTGAGTTGGAATAAAAAGAACAATTTCAATAACATCAGACATAATTAAGGTACTTGACAGTTTTGCATGGGCATAACCAGAAGCTCTGTGAATTAAAAATGTAGAAAGGCAGCAGTGCTTGTCTTTCCCTCAGAGACCTGACATACAGGCAGAGAAAGAGACAGGGGAGTTTATGTGCCAAGTGCACATGTACACTTGGATTCTTATTCGCCCCGTTCTCTCAGGACCTGCCCAGTACAGTAGAAGCCACATGAAGAAGACAGTACATTACAGAGTGGTAAATAATAAATAGTGACAGTACGTACTGTATGTGTTAGAAGGTCAAAGCAGAGTGCAGAGGTGCATGCACACACACACTTTGCACTTTGAATTCGACCTGTATTTTAATCATGCCGTACACACTCGGTCTCAGGGACTAATAGGAAGGAAGGGGTGTCCGTTACTGCCAAATGTCGGTCAAATCACGACTGACATTTTTTCAGTCCCAAAACACACTATGATATGGATCTGTAAACTGAAACAGTACTTTATATATGCTTTTTGGATTTTCTGACCTATTTATTAACAATTCCGGTCAACACAGTCAATGAAAATTGTTATCCTAAATATTCAAGATGTTTATTTCATGTGCCCTAACTATACTGTATAAAATTGGCAAAATCATGAAAAACGCAAACGCAAACTGACCAACCCCTACAGTGCACCACTGGGACACATTTTAAACCTACAGTGTGTGATATTTATTTTATTTTGTTTTATTTTTTGTGCATTTCAGCTTTATCGATAGGAAAGTCCAGTATTCCTGATTTTACAGACAAAAATCTTATGTAGCAAATTGCCCTTTTTGCCTGTTAAATCTGAAGCCTGCCGCAGGAGGGCTTGCTGTCTTACCCATCCTTCATAAGTAAGGCGTCCTGTCCCAGTGTGGCCACAGCATCGAAAGACAGGCCAGGCTTGCAGCTGTCTTGCAGCGGGAGAGGAAAGCCAGACTTCAGCCGCCACAGGTGATAGAAAGATCTAAAGCCGGATCGGGGGTACCCAAAACCTCTTCTTGGTCCTAAGAATTCAGGGCGAAAAAAAAATATAAATGTTGTTTTGAAACACTCTGTGGAAGAAGATTTTTTTATATTGTTTTATGCAGTTTGAAAAAATATTAGATGCTGTAAATGGAATTATCTTCTGTATTTAATCAGTCTGTTTGGAAATATATAATCTTGTCAGTCTGTGTTGAATATTTAATCATTTAGTATGGCTGTATTGATCCCAAATTCATGCCCTCTCCTCTTCATTTTATGAGGATATCCAGCATATATTGTGCCGTGTTGTTTCATTTTGCTAACAGCAGTTAACGTTCATTTGTAATTTATTGTGCATAAGATCAATTCAGCAATAAAATGGTCTGTAAGTAACACATAATCTAATCTTTCGCTGAACCCTCAAGGTAAGAGCAACAGAATTGAAACATGAAATAATAATGAAATGCCTAATGAAGTTCTGGATAGTTGGCTGACTCTGTGAGTGAAGATTCTTTATACAGCTCTGCCGCATAGAGAACAGGAGCAGGTGAGTGTCTCCTCACCGTACAGAGCCTGGAGCTGCCGGATGTCCTCCCCTGAGAGCAGGTTGCTTGGGCTACGTGTCTTGTAGGTGGGGTACATCAGAGATCCTGGATACCTGGAATGGCTCAAGCCCAAGGCATGACCAAACTCATGCGCTGCCACTAGGAACAGGTTGAACCCTGGAAACATACAGTACATGTGGAGACACACAATCAAAGTGGAGCACAGGGTGTATTCAGTTCTCAAACTCACAGAGAATTCTTATATATCATCAGCCACATATGATGCCGTTTTCTGAAGCTCTTACCGTAAAACATCAAGCTTAAAGTGCAGAATTCTAACTGAAAGGTGAACAGTCCCAAACAGAAGTCTGGGACAGAGGGCGTGTTGATATTCAAGATAGACCGACTTGTGTGATTTTAATCTTCTGTTCTTACTTGCACTCCTACAGTTGTCGAGCCGTTTTTTGTGATTACTAAGCTGTCCACGCTCTCTACGAGCACAATAAGATGGAAATTCATATGAACCTTCCGATCCTGCTGTCCAGTGCTCATCATCGTCGAAGTGGGTGTCCCCTCCGATGCCCTCTCCGGGCCCGTAGGCGTGGGCCAGCGTGCCCTTAGGCCCGTCGAACGGGAACAAGTCGCCGTGGTCTGGAAAGGCCGCATGCAGCACAGAAGAAGCAGAGTGTGAGATGGGGAGCTGCAGTGTCAGCTGTGCTGGTACTTACGAGCCCGTGCTCCCATCCTGACCTACCGTACGTCCCGAACTCGACCATGATGTCGGCGTTGTGTGAGTACGACCTGACGAAGGTCAGGGGGCTGGCTGTGCTCCAGACTTTCAGCGCCGAGTCAATGAGCGAATCCACAGTCTCGGAGGGCAAGTCGTTGGTGTACTGTCCAATACTGCAACATGCCAGTGACACTTTTTTCAACCTCATGCTTTCTGTAAGGTTTGCATCACCGTGTGATGCACCTAGAGCTGTAATTCAATATTTTATGTCATTTTTAAGAGTAAAAACAGACTTTAGTGCTTTCGCATTTTGTAAACCAATCAGGATGGAAAGGAACAGCAGACATATATTTTGAATGGTCTTCATCAGCGAGCACTTTTACCAGCCATGAGTCCACACACGTGTTCAGGCTAAGAACATGAAAAAGAACAGATCTCTTGTGAGCTGACGCTGTTGTCCAGACACAGCAAGGCCTCACCTGTAGGTTATCGTGTTCTTGTGCCACCGAGAGGGCTCCCCGTAGGGGCTGTAGTTCTGCACGTCCGGCACGCCGCACCGCGGCCTCTTCATCGCGCTGACCGTCTCGGCGTCCAGGCCACCCGTGGCGTTGAGGCCAAAGAACCGCTGCATCTCCCGCACCTTGGAGCCGAAAGAGGCGCTGCTGCGCTTGGCGCGGCTGGCGGGTTCCTCCTGCAGGCGGTAGTAGTCCCGGAGGTACCCCTGTGGGCAGAGCGGAGTCAGGTGGGAGCGGAGCTGGGGGGCCCTCCCATCGCGAGGCAGCGAGAGCGAGGCCGCGCGCACTCACACTTCGCCCAAGTTACAGTGAATTTCAAAGCCTTTCAGGCTCATATCCTGTGTATGTTTTGAATAAAACAAAAGGAAAATGTTGGCACCTTAAGAACGCAGTGTTAATCAGTTCCTCAGCTTTTGTTGTTACTGTTGCACTGGACTCTTTTCAGGTCACTTTAAATGTGATGTACAGTAATACACAGTAAATATAGAACCAATCTTGAGTTTAAACAATTGATACGTGTGTTTGACGGCTCTGAAACTGCAGTCCTAGCGCACTGACAGCAAGACACAAGTAATGAAAACTAACCCGACCTGGAAGATGTTATTATAGCACTTACTGTCGCCAGCTCTAGGTCATTTCGAACAGTTCCTTTCAGAAGGCCGGTTTTTTCTCTGAATCCCGATGCAGGGGCAGCTCCACAGAGACGTACATCAACTAAGGTAAAAGCCCAGAACAGAAAAAGCCACTTCATCCCTATGAATAGATGAGGGAACCTGGAGAGCTTGAATCAATTTCCAATTCTCGAAGCTGACAGGCTTGCGAATAGTAATGGGGATGTCTTATAACTTGTGCCTTCATGACTCACATTCACCTAAAACCATGAAAGCCTCAAACGACAGCATGAAATCAGGGAGTGGTTTAGTTGGGTCAAAGGGAAAAAATCCTTTCTGTTAAGACACAAGAATCTTTTGTTTTTGTTTTTAAAAAACACATGCTACCACTGAAGCTGCTGCTCTTTTCACATTTGTATCATAATTTATGTGTGATTACATAAAGGTACAGACTTCTATGTACACCTTAATGTTGTAAGCGATAGGTAAAGACCACCTCTTACACACTTTTTTAATACTGTACATTACAAACTCTTATAAGTGTGTTTTACTAGTCAGAAAACAGTCTTTCGTGCTTAAATCATTTAAAACAGAAACTAATCATAATTCTTACTGTTCAGTATAAGCACCCTGAATTTGCATTCATGAAAATTCCATCTCTTAATATTACGATTCTTTAGAGATTAGGAATTCCCTCTCTAAAAGACTTAATCTTAGTGGCCAGTTTGGAAACATTATTAGGTAAGAAGAGATGGATGGAAGCATGAATGAAACCAATAAAATATGTGAGGGGTAAACAGTTTGGGTGGACTGTGGTCTTATCATACTAGACTCTAACTCCAGCTCTTAATATGTTTTCATTTAAAAGCAGGCCTGGGCAGCGCTGTAGAGTGTTATTTTCTGTGTGAGCGTTTTGATTTAGGCCCTGATTTACCAAAACTGCCATCTTACCTTTGTAAACAGCAATTACCTGTGCTAAAGGACAGGGCACAGAAGTGCCAATTCCTGCCTTCTCTAGCATGAGGGATTACTGTCTGTTTTTTTTACCTCCAGTATTGTAGGACAGCTTGAGTTCATGCATGACATTAACATGTTTGCAATATCTACTCCTTGAATCAAAATGACCCTTGCAAATTTAATAGTGGTCCTTTGATTAGTATTTTTTATTGTATTTTTCTAGATGCTCATAAAGTGATCGGCCCATACATCATACAGCCCCAGAAAAAAGTATTTTCTCTGCGTAGGATGTGTGTGTATTATATCAACTTATCTAAGTGCCTGTCTCATTTTTAAAAAACGCACTCTCCATTTCTATATTTTAATAAAACTGTTCATATTGTATCAAGAATATGTTTGATAGCTTGTTTTTTAAAAAAGGCAAACATTTCCTAATAATTAATGACAGATGTAGTCATTCCTTTGCTCAATGTGGGAAGGCTGGAGAAGGTGTCTCTTGGTGTATTCCAGTCAATATCCATGAGTGTCCGTGTTTGTCACTGCAACAGCTTTAAGAAAACAATGACTGCGAGTATTACCCTTGACAAATTGGGCAATTATCAGCACACTAGCAGAGCACATTAGTCATTGAAGGACGTTTTGTTTTCTTCTCTTTTACTCCTTTGAGGATGGTGAAATGCTGACAAACACCTGCATCGTCCTACATGAAGATTTGAATCATCGCTGCTTTTTTTAGACTGAAACCGTAACAGTAATGGCTGCAACTAAATCAAATCACTGAATGTAACAGTTACTGAATCTTACAATTTTTTCAGTGTTGACTGAGAAAGATGACAGAATAGAATAGAAATGTTTCTTAATGTTTGACTTTATCAGGTCGCTGCTGTATTTCTCTGTGCTTATTGAAAGGATTTCAACAATGTTCAAGTCATCTGTTAACAGTCAGAGTGTGACCAGTTATGGAAGACGTAAAAGTTTATTCTATGCTGAAAAGAGAAGAAAAGAAACACAACGTTTCAGCTGTGGAGCCTTCTTTGGGTGTGGTGGCCTTTCAGTGTTAACACCTGGAAAAGGCTCCACAGTCGAAACGTTGTGTTTCTTTTCTTCTCTTTTCAGCATGGAATAAACCTTTACTTGTTCCTTTGCAGCCTACACATGCTGACGCAGCTCCCTACTTGAGTTATGGAAGATGTTTCATTCAAGCTCCAGAGAAGGCTCGAGAGGTCAGTGTGAGTGAAACGAGTGACTGAATGGAAGGCAGGGTACTCATTCACTTGAGTGTGAAGTCCAGCAGTCAGTGAGAATCGTTTTTTCGAGGGTGGTGGAGTTCAGACAGGAAAGGCACCAAGAGTAAAAACATTGGAATCTGTCTTGTCACTGTGCCCTGCAAAGATCCAACTATACATTTCTGATCCCCAGCGTGAAGCTCTATATACAGAGTTAATGGAATCCCTGTTAATCACATCTCCTTAATACCATTAGCATTGCACAAGCCCTTGCAATCCAGTTACTACATTGTCTACAGATCTGCAGTTTTCAGTATTTCTTCTTCATAACCATTGAGAACTGAGGTCAGGAGGCACTTGTTCACCCAGAGGCTGGTGGGTGTCTGGATGAAGCCGATCCCCTTGCTTCCTTTAGGAAACAGCAGAACGAGATCCTTGGATCAATTAGCTACTAACTGCCTGACAGGTAGATGGGCTGTATACCCACCTCCTGTTCAATGAATAATGTGTATCCTTATTCTAGGTGGAACGGACTATTAAATTTTTAGAAAGAAGGTTTGTTTAGAAATTCATATGAAAGCAAGAAGAATAACAATTAAACAATTGAAATATTGAATGTTTAGTTTTAGTTTTGGCTGTACAGAAAAACCTTTCAGGTTCTGATTATTTTATCCCACTGTGAGTGAACATTTAGTGTGCTAGTAGTCTTGTGAGCCGATGCATCCAGAAGAATGCCAGCCTCCAGATGTATTTACCCTGATTTACAACAAGTGTGTATGGGGCTTGGACACTTCTTTCACTTTAGTGACACCTGGTTTAGTGTTGCGATCTATGTCAAAGAGCGATTGCCTCATGTAGGGTGAAACTGTAAGAAGAAAACTATAAGGGCAGAAATCACACCAGGCAATTGTCAATAGTATACATATGAATACTTATGCAGTCAAGATAAATCAGGTTTTTGTAATTTCTGCTGGCATTTACTGTAACCTATCTTACACACAGATGTCTTCAGTTTGAGCTTTCATGGTTTGAATAAAATACTGATTTTAAGAAAATGTGCATGAATCATTTTGTATCTGTACACAATGGCACATCACAGTAAGGGGGCTGTATATTTCGCAAAGGCACTTTAAATTACCTGAATTAGGGGTCTAAAAGCATAACACATTGCCACAAAAGATTGTGAGTAATATAAATACATTTAAAAATAATAATAATTATTTTTAAAGATCATTAGAGTTTTTCAGATGCTTTTTTGTGTTAAAATTACTTAATGTCTTCTAGGGATTGGAGACCTACTGGGAACAACACATGAATATCCTCCTGTCTTTATGTTCAGAAATGTGGTGGCCACACATTTTCCAGACTAATCTTTCTGCTGTGCCATTGACATAGGCCTGGTCATCACATGTGCTTGTGCAGTATAAAATCACAAGAAAGCCAAATGGAGGGAGAATGTGTTTTCTAAATGATGCTATATTACCAGTATGTGAAAGAAAAGGGGATTGGACTGGCCCAGCTGAAGCAGGCGATATGAGTATTGCACAATGTTTTATCTCTTCCCATTAGAAACTCCCACACAGAAGAATCATCAAATGCAGCGGCACAGATTCAACACAAAACATTTCATAGTACAAAACTGAGAAATGATATGCATTCATTCTTGCAATACAAAAAACTGAATTCTTGAAAATACATATACATTTGCTATCCCTCCTCCCTAATCTCACATAAAAAATGATTAGGATGACCAAATAGCTTGGGAGTATTCGGCTCTTCCCGTATTCTCTGCAGGAAACTCTCAGAAGTGCCCTGAAAGACCCTCCTTCTGTATAAGACTGCCCTGTTGTCCTGCTGCCCTGTTGCCCTCCCTGTCTCAGGCACTGTGCTCTAGGGGAGTAGGCTGCAGCTGTACTGCAGTGTCTGTAGCTCTCCTCCCGCCAGGCTCTGAACCAGTCAGTCTATCCAACTCATTTCCTTCCTCTTCATATTCAGGCTATATGATTTCCTTCTGATGTTAGTCCCTGTTTTTCCCTGCTTGAGTGTCATTTTTTTTGTCTCACTGTTTTACTATATAGCACTGTTGTGAACTTTGCATATATTAGCATTGCAGTAGGAGGAGGCCAGCTGGTGGATCTTTCTCCCACTGCACCCCCTAGTGGTGGGGGGATGACCCACAGCCCAAAACACCCATAACCAGCAACAGCCAGTGGTGGGGTAACGGTGGGCACTAGGCAAACCCTCAGTTTGGCTTCTGGGGGATGTAGAGGGACGTCATTTTTCTCCACCATTCTGCTTCCTCCCATTGCTGTACGAGCTGATCATAAAGTCTGTCGGTCTCCTCAGAGGGGAACCACACTGGAGACAATCCTCCAGAACCTGCTGCAAGGTGCCTGTTCCTACCAGAGCCGCCTGTTCTCAACTCTGCCCAGTGCAGGACTCGCTCGGGATGCCACATCTCCTAGCCGCACTCTGCCCAGCTGTGAGCCAAGACTTCCGCTGGCATCCCTGAAGCCCCCCGGCTGAGGGGCTGGGGGCCGGGCCCACCCCACCCATTCCAGGCGGAGCTTTACTAATCCAGTGCCACGCTGCGAGGATTCCTGGGTACAGCTGGCCATCGGCACAGCCCAGATTCGAACCCGCGACCTCTGGGCTGTGGGGCCAACCTCCATATGTAGCTGATGGTTTTACTGGTTGGTGTCATTGACGTGGTCGTGTGTTCAGGTCTTTAAAACACAGAGTGACACAAACAACTCGACAGACCTACAGCTACAGTATCTGATAACACCAAAGTTAAGCCAGCTGCCAGCTCCTCATGCAGAGACATGGAACAAGAACTGAGCGGGGGCTGTTTTATAGCACAAAACACACTTACTGTACCTTCCTAAAAATTAAAAAAAATATGAATAAAACAAATAAATTAAGGATTTTCTTCTTCCCGTGTTCATTGTTAAGGGTTCTACTTTAAAGACATGAGTGTGTCTATGACATGTCTATGCTGGTCCTTTATACGTTATTCACACAGAGGGTTAGAAATGTGTCTTTAAATCTCCTGCTTTTTCCTGCTTTGTCTGTCTGTCCGTTGAGCACTCCCGGTCAGCAGCCGAGCCAGGAATTGGCCTTTACAACACGGATAACATCCTCCCGGTCGCTGTCATATTTATAGGCATTGGGCCCAGAGAACAGGTAGAGAAATCCTAGAAGAGGAGAGAACAGACTGGTATAAATAACATAATAACAGCATTATTATTATTATTATTATTATTATTATTATTAAAGCAATCAATTACAAACTCGTTCTCTAAAGGGTACATTTTTCTTTCAGTGATATTGCCACAGGTAAGAAAGATTAGTTCAGTGATGACTGTTTTAAAATTTATATTTAACAGTAATACGTTCAAGATTGTCATGGAAAATTGTGCTCAGCACTAAAACAACTTGACAAATATAATGTGCTGTATGTAAAGATGTTGTTACAACTGAGACAGCTATAGAAATGTAAGATTGCATTCCTACCATTTACTGCAACAGCAGCATCGACTTTGCCTCTAATTCCTGAAAACTCCTCTTCAATCTTTCTGGGATAGCCGTCATCCATTCGCAGCATCGCGTGGTTGTAACTGGCAAGGAAAAGGAGGACAGACAGTGGGCTCAGGCAGGATTTCTCATTACTGAGCTTACATTTACATTAGTGAATGGGCTCCAAGGGCCACATGGCCTCCTCTCATCTATTACTGCTCTTGAATGTTTATTTTCACTCCAGCTTCCTGTAAACTTCACACTGAAACATTACATGTATAAATAACAGTTAAGGAATAAAATATTTGTCCACATCTTCCTTCTACAGTAAAGTAGAATAAACATGTACAGGAACGGGTGAAGGTTAATTGCTTTCTGAAAGGAAAAGAAAAGAGATACGTTTTGGCTGTGGAGCCTTCTTCAGGTGTGAAACGTGCCTCTTTTCTTTTCAGCATTGGAATAAACCTCTACCTGTTCCTTTGCAGCCTCTGCATGCTGATCTAGCTCCCTACTTGAACTTCTTCCAACCATGGCAGTATGTGTTCGTCTGAAGAGCGAAAGCTGAGAAACTGCCCTCACCTGTAGAACTCGTTTCCGACGAAGAACAGGGTCTGCTTCATGTCTTTCAGGTAGACCGCGGCGTCCACCTGTCGCACGCGGCTGGGCAGGCCGAAGTCTGTGATTGACCTGGGACCCCCCACCATCTGGAACCCCCGGGACGTCCAGTAATTGGATCCTGAAAAGCACAAAGCGCAGGTCAGCAGGTCAGCAGGTCATCCCTCACAGCAGAGAAGGCCTGGAGACCATACCCGAGACTGAAAGCAACAGGGATGTAATGACTTGAGTACAGTATATGCTTTTCTCATCTACTGTCACCCTGCAGATCACCTCACACCACGGTGCAACCAAACGCACAGCTTTCTCATGTGTGGTCATAGCCCGTTAAAAAGACCTTAAAAATCACATTCAAACAAAACACTTGTGGACAAAACTATTCTAATTGAAAAAGTCAGCCCTCGCGGTTCGCGCTCTGAAGTCACGAGCGTCTGCTTGTCCCGCTGCAGCCTCTGCTCCTGTGTTTGGAGAGCAGAGCTTCAGGGGGCTGCGGTGTGGGGGGCTGACCGCCCGAGCCCCGGCCGACGGGGAAACATTACCTTTAAAGAGGTAGGCCAATCCTTTCTCGGGCACGTCATAGGCAGCGTCGATGCTCGTGAGCAGCTGTGGAAAAGAGGTCCTGATGTAACCGGGCCGGACATCTTTCAGCCGGGACTGTCTCCGCCAGAGGAAGCTACAGAAACCCAAGGAGAAAAAATCCTCAACTTCCGTGAACCGTGTGGGATATTCTCCCTCTGAAGTCCTTAGACAGAGCCTGTGCATCACAGTTTGTACCCCTTAAGTTACACCAGAAGTCCCAAACATCCAAATACCCAAACAGTGATTGTGTGTGCAGGTTGTGTGTCCAGAACTGTCCCCACTTTGAAGGCTTCTTAAAATGAGCAAGAGACGCTCTAAAAGCTTTTTATTCGAACACTTGTTATTCGAATCATTGCTCTGCTCCCTGAATCACGTCAAGCCTGAGAAATAATCGTAACAGTAACAGATGCAGCTGGCAGAGTACTGATCACTCTGGCACCACTGCTGTACTTATTTAAGACCCGATTATTAGACCCATGTTGTTCATTAAGGTTTATGAAGGGAATAGAGAGAAAATAAGTAAAATGTGTTATACATATAAAATGAAAACTGGCAATGAAAATAGTAAGTCTCAAATGAAGAAATATCCCAATAATTTTCCTTTCACACCTTCTTGGTGGATCACAGATTTGAGTAGCAGTTAGTAGCCTCTGGTGTTTTGTTCATCACAGGCTGGCAAATTAAAAGTCATGTGAGATGCTTGATTACAGCTGCACTGGGCACACTGGGAGCGAAGGCGTTGGAATTGAGCAGAGGAGGCAAGTTTGAATAGAAACAGCTGAGGCAGGCCTGAAAAGTGCATGCTGCCATTGCCAGGGCGTGTAATTACCAGATGGGTAATGCTTTTTGCTCTGTAAATATTTATTATGAGTAACACCGGGCTGTGATGTCAAAGCGGTGCTGTGCTGGCATGCTGGAGTGGCCTGGTTTACAGCTTTAATATTAAAGTCGGGTGGATTTCTGTCTGCTGGCTTCAGGCTGATACCACCGGAAGTACCGTAGCCATTTCTGTTTCATTTCTCCTGCTCCATGTTGCTGAGATTTCATATTTCCTAAATGTATTTTGTGCAAAACAATGTTAAGAAAATTACTACTTTAATTGAGATAGTTTCCTTCTTCAAATGTCTTTCCCTGCAGAGCATTCTCTCGGTATCTTGAATTGTCTTTCCTGTTTCATGCGACTGTGTTGACCCAGGATATATATCAGCTATTGAGCTCAGGTGTTTCCAAAATTGTGAAAGTTAAAACTCTGCTGAACTTGGAAACGGCGCCAGGCGAAAGGAGCCTTCCTCCTGCGTGGGCCAGGGCGGGTCGGGACCTCACCCATCCTTGAAGAACAGCAGCTCGTTTCCGAAGACCGCCGCGGCGTCGAAGGTCAGGTCGTTGTCGCACATGTCCGGGTGTCGGGGGACTGGCCAGTAGGGAGGCTGAGGCACCGGAGGGACGGGGATTTGCTGCCTGTTCTGGTGGTCCTCTTTCTCATGCTTCTCCTGATTTTTATTGGCAGATCCTGCAAGTTTGAGGGATAAAATACAAACAATAAAACAGTTCAGGACTTTTGTTTTAAAACAAAAAAAATATATTGATTTTGATATTTGTTTAGTATGACTATAATCTTTATAGACGCAATTAGCGTTAGAGATATGCCAATCAGAATCAGGTGGTAGGTGTTAGAAATCATGAACTTAATCTCACAAAACCCATTGCAAGTTTTATAGGTGGCTGTTTTAAGTCACGTTTTGCAAACAACACTGTTTGAATTTGGAGATGGTGTTGTGCTCTGCAGAGGCCCCCATCACAGGCCAGGGGTGTGTTTCCCCCAGTGGTTTGAAGAGGAAGGTTTGTCCTGTCATACCGTACAGAGACTGGATGCCTTTCACATCGTCGCTGGGCAGCTTGAACCCCCGGGGGTCCTGGTACTTGTAGGTGGGGTACATCAGGGCAGAGGGGTCACTGGAGTGTGCCAGGCCCAGAGCGTGGCCAAACTCGTGGGCCGCCACCGTGAACAGGTTGAATCCTGCAAGGACAGGGGGACAACGGGGATGAAACGCTCACTGATGCTCAGCATATAACAGGCGATACCAGCTCGTACAGCGGCTCCCCCCAATGTGCCCACTGTCAGATGTCTCTGGGAAATGTGGCCTCACCTGCATGTCTTTATTCTGATTAGGACCTCGGCTTACAAAACTGCGATGTGTTATTTCTCTGATGGTTCTGCTGTCTCCCCAGGTGCCCTGCTCTGGACCCTGAAACCCGAGCTTTCCCCAGGCTGCTCGCGGTGAACTCCCCATGCAAGCCGGCCTGGACAAGACCCTTCCCTGTGGAAGTGACCTCTGGCTGATGGGGTGCTGTTAGGGGCAGAAGGATGTGGGGGGGACGTACTCACCGTTAGTGCCCATTGTCCATTTCTCCTCGTCGTCGAAGTGCGTGTCCCCTCCCAGTCCCTCGGCGGGCGCGAAGGCGTGAGCCAGGGTCCCTCGGGGGCCATCGAAGGGGTACGCGTCTCCGTGAGCTGGGGGCCGTGACACGAACACGCCGTGAGACCTCGAAACACCACTGCTCCCCCCGTCTCCTCGGGCCGCGCTTTGCTGTGCTGCCCTGTGACTTCGAACTGCGACGAGTTCAGCTCTGAGTGCACACGGCTGCGGCAGGAATCTCGGGCATCACTCAGTCCGGCCGGACACACCCTGGGCTGGACACCAGTCCCGTAGGGCAATAGGTGTCCACCACTCAACAGTTTCCTTACAGGCGAGATAATGTCTTCAGAATGTGTGTTTTGTGTGCTTAACCAGGGGTGGGCCACTAGGACATCTGGGTCTTATTGCACCTCTGATATTCATTGCTCCATTGCAGTAATGATTAGGGTAAGAATGTGGATCAGTGGTCTAGTTTTTTGCCCCTAATACACGTGAGAAAGGGAGGTTCCTGGATTAGGGTCTCTGCTTAAGCGCCACTGCTACAGTAGAGCAGAAATAGTCAGATGGATTTGCCGGCCACGCCAAAGGGAGCAGTAATTTAACTTCTCATCTGCTTCTTTGTTATTAACTCCATCCTCCAGACACCTGTAATAGAAAGTTTCCCTTGCAGCAGCAGCACGGTAGTTTTCTAGCTCCCCCTCTGGTTCACCTGTGTTTTTCTGTATCAGCACATCGGTCCAGCTAATGGCTTTAGGTGCTGACGACTTCTTTCCAGGAGCCTTTCAAAGGCGCTTCTGGCAACCTCAGCAGAATGGAACAGAAATGCATGTGGGCCAAGGCAGATACTCAGAGTGTGCAACTGCAGTATGACTTTATGGGAAATGGTTACAGAGATGTACAATAAGGAACTATACTATTAAAGCATGGAGCAATAGATACAACATTAGAATGATGGACGTGATTGTGCTAAACACTACTGGAGGATTCGTGTTCTTTTTTGATGCTGAAATTTTTTCCATTTTATCCTACTGCGAAAAGTGTTTCCATTCAACATCTAATAAAACAACAATAATTCCTTCACTACAAAATAAAGTCAGAGCTGAAGTAAGAAGTCATGTTTCAGTCGATGTGAGTTTGATTGTAGTGGTTGAGCAGGAATCCATCATGATGTTTAAAATTAGCAGGCGTTTCATCAGGGACGTGTCTGTTTTCAGCACAACCTCATTAGAGTCAGAAAGGCTTTGGGATTTTGTGGAATTGTTCCATCTTGTACTGTACTTCTGGAAGATTTAAATCTGGATTAATCCAGAAAAACTCCAGGCATTTTACAGAGGCCCTGCTGCTGACCGAACGTGTCACAACACTGTCCTGACACACGGAGGAGCCGAGACCCTGGGCCTGAATCCTCTCACAAAGGTTGCGTTTGCGTTTCCATCAACAATAGCAAACTGGCTGAGCTCGGAGCGCAAACTACTCCGAGACACCGAGTCTGTGCTGAGTCTCCGAGACGCCAGTGCTGCATCGCCTGAGGCAGAGAGGCGAGCCCTGTGTGCCGCCGCGAACATACCTCCAACTTCGAAGGAGATCATGATGTCTGCCTCGCCGCTGTGGATCTTCTGGAAGTGCAGGGGGGTGACGCTGCTCCAGACGCTGAGCCCCATATCGACGGCGTGATCCACTTCCGCGCGCGTCAGGGAGGATGTGTACTTCGCCACCCTTTCACAGGGACGAGAGACAGAGTCCTGCCTGACTGGGGGCTTCGGAACAGATTCTTCTAAAACCCTCAGAACGGAGCTCAGTGGAACGAACGCCGGCTAGAAAAACTCAATGTGGTGAAACAGAAGGCACCTCGTCCTTCAGAAGTGTCTTCCTGCATCACGGGCGGCTCGGTGCGCCCCTCTGGGCTCTCCCCGTGTGCGACAGCTGTGGGACGAGGCCTGGGGCTGCTGGCCCTCAGTCCGGGGGTGTTACCTGTATGTGATGGTGTTTGTTTTCCACTTGGGCGCCCCAGGAAAGAGCCGGTAGTTCTCCACATCAGGGACGCCGCAGCGCGGGGTCTGGATCAGCGACATGGTGCTGCGGTCCAGCCGGCCCGTCACTCGGAGCCCCATGAACGACTGCATCTCCCTCAGCTTGCGCGCCAGCGGCTGGCGGGGGGCTCTCAGCAGGCCCGTGCTCTCCTCCTCCGAGTCGTAGTATTTGGACAGGTACTCCTGCACGGCCGGGAAGAAAAGACTCACAGAAAGCTTGGAAGACAAATCTCACGTGTATCAGTGCCACAGTGCTTTTTATGTGCAGAATCTCTCGTTCGCTTTCTGAAAGCAAGAGTGTTTTGATCTTAGCTCTGTGCCACTTCAGAATCAATGGGAAGGTCACAGAACAGTTTTGTCGCAAGAAAAAACATGATGTGGACATCTGATGTTGAAATCATGTCTAAGTACACGAGTAAAGCTCAGAATGTCCTCAGTTCTAAGTGGGTGTAGGGCAGTACAACCCTGCTGTGGTGACTTCTCTCCCCTGGGCCCCTAGGGGGCGCTGGAGTTTGCCCGTGTCTGTTCAAGCCTGGTGTTAACGGGGCCATGCTAAATTTTAAGCATGTTAAGCAAGAGATTGTGAGAACTTAATAATTAAGTTAAACTTTTAAGCTCTCTCTATTTATTTCTTTATATATTTATATATTTATTTAAAATATCTCATATCAGACAGGGACAATGCACAGCTCTTAAGTTTATTAATATCTCCTATATTCAGATAATATTTTCAGCTTTCTTTCTGTTTTGATGCAGTATTGCCGCTGGATGTGAAGTAGGATTTCTTTCTCCTCCGACTGGTTTCACCGAGGGCTACGTCTTGCCCTCAGCTCTGAGTGGGTGGTGTCGTGACAGGCCGAGCTCAGCACAGTGGGTTTCAATCACAGGGCAACATGATCGCTCTTGTGCAACAGAGCTTTTCTCAGACGGGCTACTGGGAAACTAGGTTCCTTCAGTGATTTGTTTTCCTGCAAAGGAGCTTGAGGCACCCTGTCTCATGCAACACTCTGATGATTAAAGAGCAAACAGCTTAATCCTCCTCCAGGGGCAGCCCCCTGAACAGGACGCCCCTGCCTGCTCCTTTGACATCCTTCTCTGAGAGCAGCCATTCGACATCAGAAAGGACTCCTGTCTATTGCAGGACAGAGCTGCACACAACCCTTAAGGATTTTAAAGATGTCGGTCGGCCTCTCCTGCATGCCTTTGAAAGGCAGGAAGAGACCGCGGCTCCTGGTCAAGCCCCTCACAAACACGGGACTCCACGCAGAAGGTGCCCCAGTCTGGGCCCATGAGCGGCGGGGTCTGCAGGGTCTTGGGGGTGGCTGTGGTACCCCTGGACAAGACACTCAGCTGTAAAACTGGGTCTCCGGGTTGTCACTGTAATCAAGAGCTTGCTCTTTTTTAACAGTCAACAGACTGCTAGCCTAAGATAAAGGAATAATCAGTGTCCTCCCTGCAGCCTCATTTACTGACATTTACGTCCCTCCATCCTTTGTACCATTAAATACTGAATGCATTTCCTTTATCTGCTTCCATTGTGATAGTTTTACATGCCTTACAGGCTGAAACGTACCACTAGAGCAAAGTTACTGCCTTATTTCTTTTTATTCTTTTAGATCACGTTGAATGGATATTAGTTCACTGTCAGGAGTGCTTGCAGCATCTGGGTGTTGTTTCAGAACTAGTCAAAAATTCCACAATGCAAAGCATAAACCTGTATTCCAGCAGTGCGTCGGCTTAATTTATGCAGTACCCACTCACTTCAATATCTAGTTTGGTCAAGCAGTTTATTCCACAAACATTTAGCTAGCTGTAAATACAAGTATTTCTAATTACTACCACATGAGAAACGATGCTTAAACTATGAATAGTCACAGTGAGACAACTGATAGTGATCAAGTCGGTCCCTGAGAGCAGTCGTATTTGACTAAATCTCACAAACCTGGGCGTAAGAAAAGTCTCTCCAGGTCGATCGTCCATACCGTTGCTTTCGAAATTGCCGAGCTGAGGAACACCGGACCGTCACCATCAGCAGAACCAACACAGGCAAGAAGACGCAAAGGAGCTTCATTTTTCCTTGGGAGGTGTTTGGATTTTAATTTTACACCAGAAGTCGAACAACTGCACAGAGTGGCAGGGCCTTTGCTTCTTTTATAGAGATAAGCAAGGATATGTAATGAGAGCCAGGATGAATCATGTCTCAAATTCTAATTATACAGCTGGGGCTGTAGATGAAGGGGTTCAGTTCTGGATAAACAGGTACTGAAGGAAAAGTCTAATGTATCTAATGCGGGGATGAAGTGTAATGAAAAGTGTAAAGATGTAAAGGCCCATTGGCTTTTCAGTGAATCAAAACATTTAAAAAATGTTGGCAGATGCGTATAGTTATGAAATGTATATATTTCACACATAACGTGCTTTTGTCATTAAATAGATTGCTAGACCTTTAATATCAAAGTTTGAGCTGTTTGGACGTCTGTTGTTTAAGACACATACAAACCACATGATTCCTGGAAGCCAGAGGACAGATTGCCAATAAATAAAGAGGCCTTTGAGCTTTGAGAGTCTGATCTGCAGCAGCAACTGAGAATTTCCTACTAGAGACACTGCAGCTTACAGTTCTGTAAATGCACTCATTATAAGGTTTTCATATTATTACATATAGGGAAATGAGATTCTTCTCTCACTTAAGTTGTCAGCATCAGGCCCTGAATTATTCCTGATGCGACAGATAATGCCTTGTGACAATTATTGTAATTATGTTATTCTTTTTTCTCTATTATTAAGTTTGCCTTTTTAGTCTTTTCAAGGTGTTTTTAGACGCTCGAGATGACCTTAACTTACAATGCCCAGCTGTTAGTTTCTGTGTTTGATTTCTAGCCATGTTTTCCAAGCAAATACTGTAAATGTCCTTTTATATATAAAAGCAACCATTATGTTTTTTCCAAGGAAATAACAAGCAGATTGTGTATTTGTGTATTCTTGTACAGACAGGAATGGTGTTCTGATTATTACCCAGCTCTGATATACTGTACAATTGGCAAAAAGGAACAGGAAATCACTCCACAGTCTGTGCTGGCTCTCAGGTTAATCTCTGCAGGAAGGCGCAGGCATGTGTAACTTTATCATCAGTTCCAGAGACTGGCAGGGAGTCAAAGCAACTGCAGAACAGGTACTGTAGAGCGAGGTAAACCAGGAGCATTGTTGTGAGAATGTGGTTTCTTCTCGGGTTTGTGTGATTGCTGTTTTCACTTGGATGCACAGGGCGCTGCAGCTCGGGGACTGAAGAGAGAAGCACAGGCAGCAGAGCACAGCAGACATCCAGCTTCAAGATCAAAGGGAGCTCCCCTGCCAGGAGTAATGATGAATATCAAATCGCACACCAGCAGCTACAAATCAGAGCCAGGGAGCGGTTATTATGTGGGGATTCTGAAACCAGAAAGGCTTTGAGAAACTGGATGTTCTTTATTAGAGCTTTAGTTTTTCCTTTGCATCGTTATTACAATCTGATTTGTTATATAAAGATGGATTTTTATCATCCGACTTTTCTCCCCCAGAACTGCCTGTTGCCTTATTTCAATGCAATTTCCAATTATTGTCTGACAAAAATCCCTTTATTGATTGTATTAATAAGGAACAGATGGGTTGAAGGACAAATTAAACATTAGATGTCAGACAAACTATAATAGATGCAAAATGAGAAAAAGGGGAACAGTGAGACAATGCTTGGTGTGCAAGGTGGCATGTACTGTATAAGTTGTGATGTTCTCATTCTTTTCTGGAATCAGAAATCAATTAGCCTCCTGAAATTGATGGCAGCACATTATGGCTGAATCTTGTTCTGCTTCATATAGCAAGAGTGAGAGTAGCTAATTATTATAAAAAACACTGAAGCATCAGTCCAATCAGAAGACAATTCCATCTAAAAAATTGTGATTCCTGGCTCCCCAGTGTCCTTTTAGTGGTTAGAAATTCGTAATTAGTGTAGTAGAAAAGAATGTCTAATTTAAATTCATATGACAAACAGAACGTTTAGGGATAAAGCTGACGTAACTCATGTAGCTGAGGAAATAGCAGCCTGACTATAAGGTCAAGACTGACAAGACCCACCTTTGCAAGCGAGGAATGAGCCAGGGAGCAGCTGCAAGGGTGAAGATGAGGTTGAGGGCGGGGAGAGAGAGACGATGTGTAGAGAGGGGGCTCAGCATGTGACATATTTTTATGCAGGAGGGTGGAAGTGGGTGAGATTGTAAATTCGACTTCCTTTCCTCCGTTTATTAAACAAAAGGGGTCAGTGGAGGTTCTCAAGAAAGCCGAATGTATATATATTGTGGAGAATACAGACTTGAACTCACTGTCTTTCCTGTGACAATGTAGCCTTTAAAAAGTTTCATGATGGGCTAAAACTGGCTTTCAAATATACTGCAGTATTGTAGGCATCTTTTGGAGGAGAAAATCTATGTTTATCTTTCTAATGTTTTTGCAGGTTATGTAGCATGAAATCACACGTTTGTGCTTGTAATTTTGTGCTGGTTAAACAAGCACAAAAAGGTCATGGAAGACCCCTGATCTGGACTGCAGAAGGCAGGTAACTAGGACATGTGCTGTGTTTTGTGAAGTGCTGGATGTTTTGTGCCTCACACTTTGATTTTCAGCTCCATCCACTTGCTTACAAAAGTCCTCAAACCATTTTTTAAATGAAACCACAGCCAGCAGCATGCGTTCTGTCAGCACTAATTATACAGTCTGTTTTACCTTAACCTGCTTTAATGTACACTGCAAAAACAACATCGAAAAGGCTGAATCATCACAACCCTTGTCTCTTGTGTACTGTACATGAGTAAAGGAAGATGCCAGCTGAGCCTTTTCTGGCATTTAAATGTACTTTTAGGAGGGTATTGAACTTTAGCATTAATTCAAAAGAACTAATTTAATTCTTAGGACTGTTTAGGACTCACTTTCAGTATTCAAGCTTGTAGACCTCAGCATCAATGCTGCTCTCATGAAAGACATGAAATCCTAGGGAGAACATTGTGCAAAGAGTTATTTAATTTGGTGCAGTTTCTACAGTCTGTATTCATGATATTTCAATATGAGTAATGGACTGGCATATAAGGTTTTGCATTGGTGTAAGATGAAGAGCAATGCAGTTGTCTTAGCTGCAAGCTCTCGTACAATTCAAAGTTACACATTAAAAGCATCACCCTCTTTAAAGGTTGTGTTTAAATTACCGTGTCTGTGAAATAAAATTTCATTTTTTACACGTAAGTCAAGAATACCATGTGAAAATATGGTAATAAAATCTTTATTAAAATAAATGAGAAAAATTAGAAATACATGTTCTTCATCATTCCCACAGGGGTAACAGGATTGGCAGAGGAAGGCAGATATCGTTTATTGTGACTGAGAGAATTCTCTCACAGCTCAATACCCTGGTGACCTTAGTAAATGCAGTAGCACTGACGTGAATCCTGTTCTCAAGTTAAAAGATGTGGGAACCAGTAAAGTCCAGTTATTTATTCCAAAATCTTTTAAGCCTTAAATGAATGTTTTATTGGACATCATGCAAAAACATCAATTAAGTTGCTAGAACTCCATAGCCACTATATTTACACTTGCTGTATCAGTCATTTTTCAGTTACTTCTTTATATAAAAAACTGAAGTGTCCTTTCGGGACCTTTCCTGACTTTACTTGCAGAACGTTATTTAAACAGGATAGCTCTGTACACAGACACAGTAATTAATATACAGCTTTTAAGAAGCTGTATTTTTAAAGAAAATCTACACAGCTTTGCTAAACAGGTCATGTTGATAATAAATCTACAAGATTTATCAATCTAAACATTGCCACGAAGCACAATGCAGTTCCTTGCTGTTGGAAGATCTTGGAAGATCTCTAAAATCTTGTTATTGTTGCTTTTTACAACAGATTTCAGCACCAGTATCTGAAAACAAAAATCTTTGAGTTAGTCCAATAGGAAAGATCACTGTAGAAACGTTGCCTTGTACTGTATATCATAGAAGCTGTGCAGAGGCAGATACACAAGTTCTCCACAGCAGCACTTCAGTCTGCAGTCACAGTGGCATGTGCGGGGAGGAGTGCATAATCATTGAGGCAATCTGTGTGATGAAACATCTTGTTTTCGAAACTGATCACAGAAATTCCCATGTGGAATATTTCCATAATGTAATCGCAATAATCTTGTGCAGAGTTTCTCTGCGGTCACAGTAGTCTCTGTGTGGAATACCAGACTGGAGTCTCATTCAGGGATGGTGCTCTCTGCTCACAACAATATCGGTGTGGAATTCCATTTGCTGATCACAATAATCCTTTGTGGAATTTCCACTCTGTGGTCTCACATCAACTACTATCAGGAAGAAAGGATCAGTGGAAATTAAAACAGAGTATCGCCCTGTTACTACAGTAGTCACCTCCTGGAATGGTGCTTTCTGAAAGCGTTCATGTTTGAGGAGGGGGTGTAGTGACCCATGTTCACAGAAGCCTCACTGGTGTATAAGTGTAATCACTGCCCAGGATCAGAGGTACACTTCTCTTCTATTGTTCCTCCTGTTGCTTCATGATGTTGGAATAATGGCCTAGAATCAGAGCTGCATTTCTCTTTTTGATTATTGTTCCTGCTTATTTCATTTTAGAGATAATTATGCTTTATACATTTTCCTTTTTTTTTCTTTGCCTGTCTCTTAGGGTTCCTAAATGTTCCCAGTCCATCATAATGGGTTCCATCAAAATCCAGTACAGGTTCCTCTGGTCAGTTCAACTTGCTTCTGATGGAGTACATACCAAGAATCAACAATTCAAGAACAACAATATAAGCTAAAGTCTCTTGCAAGGCCGAGATTCTCCTGGCCCTGCAGCTGATGAATACTTCAGAGTTTCTTTGGTGGTTGTCCCAAACCATACACCAAGAATTACCATTGCTGTTTTATGAAAAAAATGGAAAACTGGACATTAACAAGCCAACCTAAGCAGCTCTGTGGAAACCCTTGGTCTGGGACATTGAGCTCCAATTGTTTCTTTTCGGGATCAAGAAGTTTTATTTCTGGAAAGGCTGGAGAATGTGGAAGTACTTTTCACATTTAACTTGCAGTT